ATTATTTTATTTATTTATTTTTAAATTTTTTTAATTAAACTGTATACCAATTAATTGATCCTTCAGGATTTATAATTGTTTTTTTTTCACGATTAAAACCGCGTAGAAAGTTTAGGCATTATAGTTGACGCATGCGCCATAGATTATACACTTATGGCATGCGCAGTACACATATTTTGTATACATTTATTCAACTAATACAATTAATTAAACAAAAAATGAGTAATTTCGAAAGAGAACAAACGTATTTTATATAAGAACAATCGAAAATGAATATTTACGAGTAATTAAGGACGAAAAAATATTAAAAATTGCAATCGAGGGGCTAACTTTTAGATATATTTTTAATATTTTTTTTAAAATAAATAAATGGGGAACAAACAATTATTAACAGTGAACAATCAAGAACAAATGATGAACAAACGAATTAATAGAAAATAAGTAGAAAACAGGAAAAAAAAATTTTTTTGAGGGGCTAACTTCATTCACCCCCCCTAGGGCTATCAGCTTAGGTAGGAAAAAAAAAAAACATAGATTATACACATAAAACCATGTAGGTACAAACCAATTCATTTTTCATATTAGTAAAAATTAAAATGTTGTTTAGTTTGAAAAAAAAGGTTTTTTTTTATATTTAATGAATATTAGTTGTTTTAACTTTGATAATCAAGGGCCTCAGAATCATAAATTTGTTGTTTGTTTAAAGCTGTCCTTTTCCGATTAATCTTTATTTCCGTGTAAACACGAATAAAAACACATATAGTCGGATTTTTAATTAGACGAAGCCAGCTGACAGTAGCTAATGTCACTTTGTGAAATAATGTTGCTATATTTAAAGAATAGTGATGCGTTCAGTTCTCGTTCAATCACATGAATGAACAATGAGTCTGAAGAGTTAATCACTAATTTCAAACTATAAAAGAATATTATTTATATTTTACAATAAAATTGTATTAAAGCGCTCCAATATATGTTACCAGTAGTATGTAACTACAATCAGCCTTTTTTTATTTTCATTACCTACCTATAATTGTTATATTTTATATATCTATAGTTTCAACTATATGATGTATTGGAAACAGGACCGTCTTACAAGCTTCCTCGCAATGTTTTTTTTAATGTTTAAAACACTCGGTGATCAGTACAGATAGATACTATAGGAACATAATATTTCGTCGAAAACTCGTTGGTATGTACAAAGCACGCCTAAAATTCGAACCCCGTACCCGATACCGGCAACTCGGCACACCAACTATTCACTAGACAATCGAGGCAATTTCATGAATTCAGGAGTTTTTTTCAATCGTTCATTTTGTCACAACACTATTTTTATTTCATCAAAAGCTGACAACACAGTAAACGTCAGTTGACTTCGTCTAATAAAAAATCCGACTATAGTTATAAGCAGTAGCAATTGTTTTGATCAAATCTAATAAATATTATATTTTATAGAAGTTGAGTGCAACTTAATATACAACCATGCCTAGTCAGTATGAGGAAGAACGTGTATGGGATGGTCAGAATCATAATAATCAATATGAAGTAAGTTAATAATTTAATTGGTGCTAATAGGTATTTTTTTTAATATAGTGACTTATTACAATTTTAAAGTAAATACATTTTATGAATATAAACTGATTTTAAAAACTCATCATTTGTTTAATAAATCTGATGCTGAACAATATTTATATTATTCCATAAAAAACAAATTCTGTTAATTAAAACTTAGAAATAAACAAGACTTATGTTTTGTTTCCCCTGACTACCTAATTCTCTTACATCTATATATCCATTATCTGTTTTAAAAGTAGCATTTTATCTTTTTACTAATTTAAATTAATATTTATATTATTTTACCAATCCTGTTCATACTATTGAAGATATGATTAAAATAAAAGTTACAACCTGAACAAATGTAATTAATCCTTAGCCAAACAGAGTAAAATTAAGAACACAAACTGAGAACAGGCAATTCATAATTTCATTGATGTTATTAATCAAAATAAGTACTTACAAATAATTACTCCAATGCATTTTGTTGTGATATGTAGTTTGATTTATTAAACTGGTAAATAACATTTATTAGGAAGAAGGAAATGAAGATGTTATTGAGAACCCTGAAGAGGTATTAAATGAATGTCTGGAAAAATTTAAAACTCCAGACTACATTATGGAACCTGGTATTTTTGGTCAGCTTAAAAGATACTTCCAAGCTGGTGGAAATCCAGAGCAAGTTATTGAACAACTGTCAATGAATTACAATGCTGTAGCTCAGATGGCCAACTTATTAGCTGAATGGCTTATCCTTGGAGGTAATTATTATATTTGATATAGGAAATAATGTTTATTTCTTCCATTTTACTGAATTATTTAGTTAGTTGTTACCATTCTACAGTACAGTAAAAGCTCTTTATTTGCAGGTATATTTTACATAAATATGGAGCAAATACAGATACAGTGAATAGGGAATGGTAGATTATATGGGATTATAGGGGATATGTTATATATGGTTATGGATACACATTATTCATATGTGGGAACCCACATTATGGTGTATATTAATTGCTTAACTTCAGATAAGAGCTGTTCTGTCTGAATTAGTAAAAAAAATTAGGATACAATGAGTGAGCTACAAGTATATCTTTGAGCGAGTAAGCCAGAATTGTACATTTTGAGTGAGAAAATCAGATGTGTACATTATGCCCGCTTACCTCGACTTTCTTCTCTGTTTTACCTCTTGGAAAGTTGAAAGTGACTCAAAACTTATTGCGTTATTTTACTTTGTAACTGATCGCAATATATAAACGAAATTCAAAAGTAACTAACAAATTAGGGTCATTAATCAAATAAAATTTAAAAAATAATTTCATTATGACAATGTAAAACGTGGAAATGAAGTATTTGTGCTTACATTATTGTGTGGAACAGTCTCAGTATAGTTCTTTCAGAAGAGTATATACAAGTTTCCTCAATATGTTTTATCACCAGTAATTAAATTTTTATTTAAATCAAAATTATAAGCTACTAGTAACTTAACATTTATTAAATGGAATTAAATTGGGAATTTATTAATTAGAATCATAAATTATTATCATATATTTTTTACTTACAGGTGTTAAAGTTAGTGAAGTCCAAGCTATGGTTGAAAATCATTTAAAAGACATGATTCTAAAAACATTTGATCCCAAAAAAGCTGATACAATATTCACTGAAGAGGGAGAGGTAATATAAAATATAGATTATTATTTTTATTTTATTATTCTAATGTCCAATATAAGCTGTAAAAGGTTAAACAATATAAAGTAGTTTTAAACCTGTGAAATATATTAAATGGGATCTAATTAAATGGTACCAGAAGTAAAAAAATAATTTACAAACATTTTTAATCTTCTAGAATAAAATATATTTTTTTATTTCTTTTTTTATTGTTTAGATGGGTGGTTCACAGCTCACCTGGTGTTAAGTGGTTACTGGAGCCCATAGACATCTACAACGTAAATGCGCCACCCACCTTGAGATATAAGTTTTAAGGTCTCAGTATAGTTACAATGGCTGCCCCACCCTTCAAACCGAAACGCATTACTGCTTCACGGCAGAAATAGGCGAGGCGAGAAATAGGTGGTGGTACCTACCCGTGCGGACTCACAAGAGGTCCTACCACCAGCAATCACGCAAATTATAATTTTGCGGGTTTGATTTTTTATTGCTAACAGTAACTGTAAAATTTAGTCATAACTTAATTTAGATTACGAACCTACATTTTAATTACAATTAGAAAATAAATTTATATGAAGAAAAAAACTCTTTAACTTGTTATACATAATATGCATTTTAATAATAATGAAGAACTGATACTGTGAATATTTTTATAGACACCAGCTTGGCTTACTGAGATGATTGAACATCCTACTTGGAGATCTTTAATTTACAGACTAGCTGAAGAATATCCAGATTGTCTAATGTTAAATTTTACTATAAAGGTATTGATTTCAACATTAATTTGCTTTTTGTTAATATTTTGAAAAACATAGTAAAATTGCTAATCTATTTGTTTTTAGTTAATTTCTGATGCAGGTTTTCAAGGTGAGATAACAAGCATATCAACAGCTGCACAACAAATCGAAGTATTCTCCAGAGTACTCAAATCAGCTATTGTGGGTTTCCTTCAAAGTTCAGATGATTGGCAAAACAGTGTCAATGAATGTGCTGTAAGTAATAGTAACTTTGAAGATTTTACAAAAAAATCGCTAAATATTATAGGACTTACCTCTTAGGTATTAGAGGAATATAGTGAATCTATACATATAAATAAAATTGGAGTGTATGTTTGTAATATTGAAATAACCCTTTTTTACTACATGCATATGAATATAACTAGTCAGGTCATAAGTATTGTCACACAGTAAAAACTTTTCTTTTAGAATGCTGGCCACAAAAAAGAATTTTACTCATTTTTAAATATGGAGTGGACGCTTAAAGAAGACCGTGTTGCAGTTATTGCGTTGCATCGTTGCGGTTACGCGCCAATTCAAATTTTTAACATACTGAAAAATTTGAATATAACTAAAAGATTCGTTTATCGTACCATCAAACGATACAATGAAGACTCTAGTGTAGATGACAGGTCAAGAAGTGGTCGCCCTCGGTCTGTTAGGACTCCAGCAGTGATAAAAGCTGTGAAGGCGCGAATTCAAAGAAATCCCAAACGTAAGCAGAAACTGTTGGCCCTTCAGATGGGGTTAAGCAGAACCACGGTGAAAAGGGTGTTAAATGAAGACTTAGGGCTTCGGGCATATCGAAGAAAAACAGGACATCGTTTGAATGCTCGTCTAATGGACCTGAGACTGAAGAGATGCCGCGCTTTGTTGAAGCGGTACGCGGGAAAAAAATATCGGGAAATTCTTTTTTCGGATGAAAAAATTTTTACCGTAGAAGAGAGCTACAACAAACAAAATGATAAGGTGTACGCACACAGTAGTGAAGAAGCGAGCAACCGTATTCCGCGTGTCCAACGAGGTCATTTTCCATCCTCGCTCATGGTATGGTTGGGAGTTTCTTATTGGGGCTTAACAGAGGTACATTTTTGTGAGAAAGGTGTAAAAACGAATGCAGTTGTGTATCAAAATACAGTCCTGACGAACCTTGTGGAACCTGTTTCTCATACCATGTTCAATAACAGGCACTGGGTATTCCAACAAGATTCGGCGCCAGCTCATAGAGCGAAGAGCACACAAGACTGGCTGGCGGCGCGTGAAATCGACTTCATCCGGCACGAAGACTGGCCCTCCTCCAGTCCAGATTTGAATCCGTTAGATTACAAGATATGGCAACACTTGGAGGAAAAGGCGTGCTCAAAGCCTCATCCCAATTTGGAGTCACTCAAGACATCCTTGATTAAGGCAGCCGCCGATATTGACATGGACCTCGTTCGTGCTGCGATAGACGACTGGCCGCGCAGATTGAAGGCCTGTATTCAAAATCACGGAGGAAATTTTGAATAAACTTTAGTGTCATAAGAATCTATGTTTTGTTAAGTTCATTTTGGTATATGAATGGTTACATAATGAATAAACTTGTTTCAATTATTTTACATTAAACATGTGACAGAATTTATGACCTGACTAGTTATATACGGTACATACACCAAAATAACATTTTTTACAATTTTTGTCGTTGTCGTTTTATCGCGGCTTATTGCGAGGCCAACGTCGGAACTTGTTATTTCCAAAAGCGAAAGAAACCGTTCTACGGTTGCTTGTGACGTTGTAAAAAGAGTAGTATCGTCTGCATATCTCAGGTTTGATATCAATCGACCTCGACGAACGTGACAAAACATACATATTCAAACGTGATTTTTCTCGAATCATGTCTTCATTTTCGGGGTCTTTCCAGTAAATCCTGTATTGTATGTACGCTTAATAACACTTTGTAAACTGCGCTTTTGTTTTAGAAAATGGTTTGTCATGGCGCGCACACATATGTCTACAGTCAAGTTATTGTTCACATTCTCTCACAAGAGCCAAGAGGTGGCGCTATTATGAAGAGGTTGAGCCAGGAAATAACTCGTTGTGCTCAACAAGGGTATGTTGCCTGTGTCCGGTGGCCTATTAAGTTTTAAATTTGAAATTATACTTTAATAGATCATAATGATTATTTCGTGCAGCGGCCATGACGTGACCCCAATAACACTGGCCTTGACCTCTGGTGAGAGTTGGCGCAACGCTCGGACGGCACTTGCAGCCATGCTATCGAGGGGCGCCCTCAATCCGGCTGATATCTCGGTGTTGTTCCGCGCTTACACGCAACCAGACTCGCCACCGGTTCATTTACTTAGGATACCACAGTTTTTGGGTAAGGCTTTCTTGCTGCTGTATTTTTTATAACTCCACAGATGAGCTCTCTTGGCATTGAGTCGAAGCAGAACCCTTGACATGACGAATGGATGCGGCCACTCGCCCAAAGGTAACATCGGGCGTCTATCCTACCCTATGAACAAGAAGATTATTATTTCTTTTATTTTTATTATCCGTGTAGTGGCATATGGTGATGGTGATGGATGATCGCGTTGGTGAGTGCTTACCGTCGCCCGTGGACATCAGCTATGTCAGAGACACAGCCAAATCGCTACTTACCATTGAGTACTTTCCAAAATCCTCGTTTGAAGAAAGATATGTTAAAGCGCTCAGGAAACCGTGGAGGAAAGTTCAATCGAAATCGGATGGTATTTGGCAGAAAAGATCTTTGGAAACGCACTGTCGATAAACGCAATGGTTCTAGATAATATGTATGAACTATTCTTTGGTGGCGGGCAGTGTCATGGCAAAATAGTGTGATCATTTCCTCAAAGCACTTCGTGGACCAATAGGAACGATGGTATAACATAAGTAATAGAAATTGAGAAAATTTCATAGTATTTCTTGACCTTTTTTTTTTTTTCGGGTAGAGGGCCGAACCTCCTACGAGGTCCCCGCGCAAAAGGGGCGCGCGGGGTATGTGAGACTCAACGGTCTGCATGGTGTTGTGAGCAGACCGCGGGCCCAATGATTTTAGGACCCACCCACTAAACGACTCCCCTGCACTCTTACACCCGACGTCCGATCCCCTCCGAGGTCAGAACCCGGATGAGGTAGAGGGGCTACCACGGTCAACACTACAACCAGACGGCGCGGCTCACCCCAAGGACGCCCAGTCGACGGAGCCTTCGAGGCGAATCGAAGGGTCTGAAACGTCGGCCGTCTCGGTATGGCAGCCAGTCGGGCCGCCCAGACGGTGCCGCTGATGTCCCGGAATACCCCGCTGGACCAGAACCAGCCTGCCGGGTCGGGACGCGATACACCGTCGACCGGTCGCTCTATTCACTCCACGGCAGCGCGCTAGAGTGCTGGTAGCGCGCCGCGCGGCCTCACCCCCTCAGGTCGCCCCTTGACCTTCACCGGGGGGAGGCCGCTACCTACAGGGGCCGGGACGTACGGGCGTATTCCCGCNTTAAACACGCATTAAAACAAATAATAAAACTATCTTCAAACAAGTGCTTAAGTAATTCAAATCAAACACAAAAATTAATATGAAATATTACTAAACAATTACGAGCGACTAGCGATTTTACAAAAGTTGCGAATAAAAAATTAAGTAACTACTTGCGGGGAACTACCGGCTGGCCGCATGAAAAATATAAACACAAATACCTAGATTAAAATTCAGACGTACCATAGGTATAAAAATGTACCTAGCGGCCAGGGCATACGGTTCAAAATCACTAGGAATAATTCCGTGTCTCTTGCTCATTTATTTTGCGTCGATCGGTCTGTCTCGCTCGCTCGGTTCCGTTCGCGTATTAAGCAACAGTACACGACAAAGAAAGAAACATGTTGGGTGATAGTGTGATGTTTGTTTCCTTCGCGTAATGTGTGATGTTGCATTACATCGTAGGGTAATATTACCCGAGTAATATCACTCGCATTACTTACACATGTCTAATGGCAAAATAGTGTGATCATTTCCTCAGAGCACTTCGTGGACCAATAGGAACGATGGTATAACATAAGTAATAGAAATCGAGAAAATTTCATAGTATTTCTTGACCTGCATCTTACTTTTTTTTTCTTTTTTTTTTCAAGGTAAAAACATTCAATATGGTCTATTTAAGTTATTTCATATATTTGTTTCACAGAACTACTCGTTGATTCATTGTTCAAATTGGGAAGCAAACTGAATCCGGAACACAAATCCAAATATATGTATCTTTTGGCATACGCTGCTAGCGTTTGCGAAAGTCCGAGTCCCGGTAAACCTGTTAAAGACGAACTAAAGGCCACTGTGCAAGCTATTGAAAAAGTACATGCCGTGTGCAGCAGCTCTGCTAGTTCCAGCGAACTCATCGCCGAATTGCCTACTCTATACCATTGTATAAGGTATTATTTCTTATAAACACGTAAAGAATATGACGGACTTTGTGATAGTATGTCTAAAAACACGAGTATAAAACTGTGATGTTAAATTGTATAATACTTTAACCATGTTGTATATAAATATGTATTGTGTATGTAATGATAGACATATTTAATTTTAACAACACTGTTTTGAATTAATATAATATTTTACATAAATACATATATTTTGGCTGCTGAATAATAGTAGCATATTTCTTTACGATGAGTTATAAAATCAATGAAATTACTTACAGATTCCCCGTGGTCGGTATGGGAGTTTTAGTTTGGGTGGAGTGTGTTGTGACCGAACCTTCGTATTTCAAACTCTGTACAGAACATTGTCCTTTGCACCTGGCGCTATTAGACGAGGTCGCGTCTTGTCATCCACTGTTGCATCACAGGCTCTTGAGATTATTAGTGAAACTCTTTGAATCGCCACAAGACGAACTAGAAATATTAGTCCAGGTAAGATTCTTTTCATTCCATAAAATACAGACGCAGGCGTCACACGATCCACATGGTGGTTCCTGGATCCCGTAGATACCGCAAAATTAATGCTGCTGCCGTCTTAAAACGAGATGGAAGTCATATTCTCCACTTTATGCCAAACCGAGTACTTCGGGCAAACCCATTAAGAAATAAAACAAATTGTATGTGGGTAGATGCAGAATAACAATACATACAAATCTCTAACATTAAAATTCAAACTATCGAGGAGCTTCGATAACCTGCGCCTAACGAGCAGACACCCGCTTGGTGGAATGTTTACCTATGGCGTTTCATCCTTTAATATTTAGAAAAAAAAAATTACCAGTGATAAAAAATTGTAATAAGAAACGTTTTGTTTCAGCTTGAATTGAAAAAGATGCTTTTGGATCGAATGGTGAATTTATTAAGTCGCGGTTGTGTTGTCCCCGTCCTTAGATACATTAAGCAGTGCTGGCAGCGCGGAGATACAGATATTTCGTTGATTAGATACTTCATAACTGAGGTATGTTTAATGATCTTATCCTTCATCGTTTTGAATTCGTTTCATGGTGTGGTGTTCCATATGAGTCGACTATTATCAAAGGCGGCAATCTGACTTTTGGACAATGATTGGTAAATCAGAAAAACGAATTATTGACTTTGTATTCCATTGGCAGTCACAAAACTCTTCGGAACGACATCTTAGATAAATAACAGGTTAACTATTAACCTTTATTTAATGCAGGTTTTGAACCGTATTCTTTGAAGGAGACGATTATANGAAGATGAAGAAAATATAGAATAATATAGATATTTAAAGAAGTATGTGTGTTTTTTATACCCTAATAACTACAATTGGATAAAAATACATTAGGAACATCTTAAACATTAAAAAAAGAAAAGTTCTTGAGGTATTTATATAGAAAATTAACCTCAAAACGAGTTTTTTTATTTTTATTATATTTTTTATAATAGTGGCGTCAATTTCAATATATTTTTTAGATATCTAATACATTTAAGAATTTGAATCAGTCCATTTTTATAGTAATATTTAATGTCCACCTTGGGCCTAGCACACTATGGAGAGTGGGCAATCCCCTTTAAATGTGTAAACCTTTTCCTCAAATTTTGGAAGAATGCTTGACATAATATGTATAATAAAAGGGGAAATCCTAAATTAGACAGCTTTATGAATTAAATTTAAGAATAACTCGAATATGTAGTACCAAACGATTCATAACTCAGTGGTACGCGTTACCTTATAACGCATGCTTGTCATTGTGCTACTTTATAGTCGGGACTAAGGAAAGTGATAATGGCTAGTACAGTTAGCTTACTAATTAGGAAAGAAGTAAAGAAAGGATGACCGTGCATTATTTGTTCCCAGATGTTTATTGTTGTCGTTTTAATGTCACTGAAGCTGTAGCGACCGTTTCAGTATAATATTCTCTAAAAAGGGTATATTTGACAGTTCAAGACCCCAAAACCGAATATGGGATAATCAACTCATACTGATAACAATATATATTTGCCGACACCAGGAAATACTTAAATTTGGCAATGAATATTGTATTCGGCGAAAACAAAGCAAATACATTATCTCATTTTCATACACTGTATACAAATGAATACTCGTTTCGTTTACCGATAAACGCCAATCGCTCGGTTAATGAATATTCCCTTTGTCGATTAGATGTGCTTCCTTTTTACACAACAATGTGAAGTACTGGTAGCCACTTGGCATCGAGACGGATCGTAATCTCGTCACTCCACCTACAGCAGTAAAAAACATAACACACTGACGTATTCCAAATTCCATGAAGACGCATAATAACTTTGATAATGATTTACATGATCGTATAAGTAAATTCCACCCTTTCTGGATCAAATAAGAATTTTTAATTTAATTAAAATAAATACTATAGAATTTGAATAATAAATAGATTTAGTTTCTTATAGATCATTTTGATCATTTAGCTTCAGTAGGTTTTTTGGTAGGCAGCGGCTTGGCTCTGCCCCTGGCATTGCTGAAGTCCATGGGCGACGGTAATCACCCACCATCAGGTGGGTCGTATGCTCGTCTGCCTATAAGGGCAATAAAATAAATGTTCTTATTTTCATTGCTTATATATGTGGATGAGCTCACGGTCCAACTGGTGTTAAGTGGTTAGCGGATCCCAGGAACATCAACAATGTAAATGCCGCCACCCACCCTGAGTCATGGGTTCAGTTTCAGTTTTCAGTACAACGGCTGCCTCACCCTTCAAATCTAAACGCATTACAGCTTCACGACAGAAACAGGCATAGTGGTGATACCTATACCTATAGATTTTTTGTGGGTTTGACTTTTATTACACGACGTTATTTCTTCATCGTGGTAGTGATTTGTGAACACGTGTAAGTACGTATTTGATTAGAAAAATGGATACCTGTCTACACGATTAGGATACCGACATAGTCACATCTCTCGATACGTATGCACCGGGCGTCTTATCCTTTAGGCCACGACTGGGATGTGTTTGGTCAGTTCATCATTGTGAATATAATTTTATTTTCAAACTGAATTCAAGTCTTATATCCATAGGTTTTGGACGCAATAGCACCGCCGTACACGCCCGAGTTCGTACAACTTGTCCTACCCATGGTAGAGAATGAAGAAATAACCGGGACGATGAGAGCAGAAGGTGAAAACGATCCGGTTTCTGAATTTATAGGTATGTTATCGTAATTAATATGTATATCACTGTAATAATTATAATTGCTCTTTCTTTTCTTTCTTATTCTTCTTCCTTTTTTTTATTACTTAGATGGGTGGACCAGGTCACGGCCCACCTGGAGTTAAGTGGTTATCGGAGCCCATAGACATCTACAACGCAAATACCGCCACCCACATTGAGACATGAGTTGTAAGGTATCACTTTTAGCAATACAACAGCTGCCCTGCCCTTCAAACTGAAACGCATTACTGCTTCACGATAGAAATAGGCAGGGTGGAGGTACCTACCCGAGCGGACTCGCAAGACGTCCTACCAACAGTAAACTACAGTACAGTATAGTATTAGTATTTTACTATACTACTGGTATTTCGCTCGTCTAAACTAAATATCACGTGAGCGGTTCACTGGTCACTGATCACTGGTTTTGTGCTCAGCAATGAGATGAAAGGTAACCTCTATTCTTCGTCGGGTTTCAAACTATTTTCATACCAAATTTCGTCAAAATCGGTTCATTGGTTTGGACGTGAAAACGTAACAGACTGAGTCACTTTTAGTGATGGGTAAAATGGTTTTGAAAAGGACCTGTGATACACGAGCGAGACCAAAACCAAGCTCAAACAAAAAATATACAAACATTCCATGAATATTATAAGTTTAAATATTAGTCAACTGAAACATAATTATGCTTTTCTTAGGGAACAAAATACTTTTAAGAATTTGAACTTTGTAACTTGCTTCACTAGATTTTAATACTGAACAAAAAAAAAACAGTTAACTTTACCACTATTTGAAAAACAAGTTGTTATTGTAACAAGTGTGCTCGATGCTTATTATGAATAATTCATGGGCATCAAATATTAAATACATTAATATATTTGATCTATATGTATAAAAATATATGAAAAATAATGAATAGTGGTTAATTGTCAACGTTTTCTGGATCGCAATGAAGTGTTTTACTAATAAAACTAATTAAATATTGATTGTGTACAATTTCCTATTTACGCCTTTAAAAATGGATATAATATATTTAGGAAAATTATTAAAAAATCCTGAGTATCAGATCAATTAAGTAAAAACAAAACTGAATACCTGAGACCAACACTAAATAAGCAAGAGCAACACCGAAACCAAAATTGTCTTAGTCTTGGTCTGTTTCTTAGCTTGTTTATGGCTTATTACTTTTGTGTTTATAATATTAGTATCTATGGTAGTATGAAATTATGGTCAAATCATTGACTTTCCTTTGTTTTCTTTGTTGCAGTTCATTGCAAGGCACATTTCGTCGTTGTTTGAAGATATATAAATAAATATATAATAAACTAAATGTAACAATAATAATATGATTCGTTTTAGTAATAATAATAAAATGATTTATTTTATTATCAACCAGTTTTTTTTTGTTACTTTTAATATTGTGGCATTCTATTTTTGCGATATATACTAGTGTCCTCTTGCAGCTTTTCTGTCGTAATATCGTTTGAGTGCCTCTTCAAACACCAAACCCACAGTTCTCTTTTTCCAGATGTCAATTTTTTCTTTTGTCTCTATTTCAGCATTCTTTTTCTTATTGTTTTTATTTTGTGTTTCTAATTTTATTGTTTCAGTTTTTGGTTGTTTGTCAAATTCAGCATCCGTTTCAGACTTATTAACTTCACCTTTTGTGGACTTTTTAGTTTTTGGATCTTTTTCATTTTCTTCATCACTAGGATCATCAATTGAAAAATCAGAGTCAGCATCAATATTCTCATTATCTTTCTTTAATCGTTTTATTTTTCTCATTTGTTCAAGATTAACACGATTTACTTCTTCATCAGAATCTTCAATTTCCCCATCAGATAATAATGCATTATCATTGGTAACTTCTCTTTTCCGATAGTTTCTTTTCTTTAGTGTTTCTGTTGGATCTTTATAAGTTGATGGGTTATTTGTATGCATTTTCTCCATTGTCTCAGTACTTTTACACTCCTTGTTGTCAGGATTTCCTAGTTTTTGCTCATATAAATGACGATAAAAACCACCTGAAACAGTATTTAATATGCAATATTAGACAGTAGAAAATGTTCAGGCAGTCACACACATAAATAACAAGCATCAAAATGATCATAAGCTGAAAGACCTACNAGTTGATGGGTTATTTGTATGCATTTTCTCCATTGTCTCAGTACTTTTACACTCCTTGTTGTCAGGATTTCCTAGTTTTTGCTCATATAAATGACGATAAAAACCACCTGAAACAGTATTTAATATGCAATATTAGACAGTAGAAAATGTTCAGGCAGTCACACACATAAATAACAAGCATCAAAATGATCATAAGCTGAAAGACCTACTGCTAGAACTTCCCCAAAAATTCGCCACAGCAAAGTAACAGAAAACTTTTATCCAAGTATAACTACAAAATGGAAATATATGACTTCAAGATGACTCAAAACGACTGTGAACATACTGTGTTCCACACAATTGTATGTTACAGTACTTTATTATTATGAGGGTACAAAATAATTTAATATCAAATATTCTATCAGCCCACAGACATCCACTGCTGGACAGAGTCCTCACCCAAGCCTTGCCAGAAAGACCGGTCCTGCTCTGCTTGCATCCAGCAGATCCCTGTGAACCTTAATAGGTCGTCTGTTCATCTTGTAAGAGGCCTACTCACTCCATGTCTTCTGATATGTCCAATAATGCAACTAAAATTCCCAGACATAACTAAACCAAACATAGTATGTTAAAGATACCCAAATCATGTTGCTTAGTGACATCTCCTATGCTTTCAAGATATTCTTCCCTTTTTTCTTTTTCTTCTTCTATCTTCATTTCCTCCAATTTCTTCTTATAAGCAGAAGTAACAAATACTTCTTTATCTTTAAATTCATCCCCCTCCTTTTCTCTTTCCTTTTGTATCTGAATAAATACAAACCACATTAAATTGATTAAAATGATATTGCCAGTTTCCCAGGCTAAGAATAAATGAAACCTGATCTGATTTGATAAAATACCTGTCTTTCAACTCTGCGTTCATTTTCTAATTTTCTCTTATTGGCTGTTTTGATCAAATTTTCGATATATTTTGGCTTCCTTTCTTCTTTTATCTTTACTTTTTCTTTTTTACTTTTAACTTCGTCATATATTTCATCATATTGATAAACAGTGGGATCTTCTAACAATGCTTTCTCTTGGGAAATCTTGGCCTAAAATTTTATTTTAAAAGTTACATTACAAACCACTTTTCACATGGGCACATAGGAACTATTGAAACAAAATCTACATTGTATCTAATATATGTTTATTATTTCCTTAATTGTTAAATAAATATATGATTAATTTTTAGTAAAATAAAATAGAATTTAATGAAACATTTTCAAAACAAACCTGTCTATTAATATTGTCACTAGGCCGCAATAAGTGTGTCTTTTTCTTTGTGTCATCATCAGAATCAGACTCATTGCCAAAAACGTTACGAGATGCTTGGAATTTAAGTGTGTTGAGCTGCTTACCCCCCTTCTCAGGTACAATCAAACCATATCTATGGATTTAATATTTATTATTTTGTGTAAGTTTGAGTTACAGAGGTGCTAGAGGTACCAGATTTAGGTACTAGACTTTTATGGGGAAGTATGAAAGATTATTTATGCCTAATTTGTGTCACCATATTTGATATTACTTACAATATAATATTTCAAAAATATGTAACAGTATACATTGGGCCATATGTTAGGATTTTCTTCTTTATTTTGGTCATACTAGACAAGCACTGTCCAAAAATTTGTCAATAAGCATAGTACTATTCCTCTGAGCACTCTCCATGGAGCATAGAGATCAAAATAACTCCATAGATCCACAAGTTCTAAACAATCTCTGAGATCAACAGTCTGAAAGGCTCTCTTGTTTAAAGAGTTAAATGGACAAGAAAGTAATTTAAGTAGGAAATTGTGTTTACTTCTAGTAGATTTTATTGGTGGTACGGTGTCTTGAGCCCGCATTAGTAGGTACCACCACCCAGCCTATTTCTGCGAAGAAGTAGTAATGCGTTTAGATTTTAATGGTGGGGCAATCGTTGTACTGTAAAAACTAAGATTTAGAATTCATATCTAAAACTGGGTGGCGATATTAACGTTGTTGATGTCTATGGCCTGCGGTGATCAATTAACACCACGCGGACCATAAGTTCATCCATCCATCTTAGCTTTAAAAAAGTTTGGTGCTAGGGACTTTCATCTCAGATAGGAGAGCAGCTCCACCCTAGAGCAGACGTGTTTTGTATATCATAACTCTTTGTCCACGCGCAAATTGAAGGCTCAACATTTTAGAAGCCAACTTGGCTTTACCTTCCTGATTACTGTTCTAAAACCCTCCCAGAATCCAAATATTAATTTTGTGTGGATACTTCTTGAAAATGGGTATATCGTGACAAATGGGTCCTTCTTCTCAGTGTTTAAGTTTCTACTAACTAAAGTAAGAGTTAGTTACAGCTCACTTACTTTTTTGATGCCATTTCTGCTCTGTCAATCTTTGGAATTCATAGTAATAATATATTATTTAACTCGGTTTATGTATTCTTTATTTATTATGAATTTACTGTAACTGCTTGGTGCCTAGAGTTGTTAGTGCTGTTACTATTGGGAATTGGGAATAGAAATATGTTTGTTTTATAAACTATAGCCGGATTTTTTATTAGACGAAGTCAACTGACGTTTACTGTGTTGTCAGTTTTTGATGAAATAAAAATAGTGTTGTGACAAAGTGAACGTATGAAAAAACTCCTGAATTAATGAAATTGCCTCGATTGTCTAGTGAATAGTTGGTGTGCCGAATTGCCGATATCGGGTACGGGGTTCGTATTTTAGGCGTGCTTTGTACATACCAACGAGTTTTCGACGAAATATTATGTTCCTATAGTATCTACCTGTACTGAATACCGAGTGTTTTAAACATTAAGAAAAACATTGCGAGGAAGCTTGTAAGACTGTCCTATTTCCAATACATCATATAGTTGAAATTATAGACGTATAAAATATNACACCGAATAGCCGCAGCGTGGCTAAAATGGCGAGAAGTAAGTGGTGTCACCTGCGATAGGAGGATGCCCGTTAAGCTCAAGGGTATGATCTATAAGACTATAATAAGGCCTGTTCTTATGTATGGCAGCGAAACATGGGCGGCAACCAAAAGGAACGTACATACCATTCAAGTTGCTGAAATGAAAATGCTGAGGTGTATGTGCGGCGTGACTAGGCTCGATAAAATCCGCAACGAGTACGTGCGTGGAAGTCTAGGTGTACGGGACATCGCCGACAAGATGCAGGAGAGTAGGCTGAGATGGTATGGTCACGTGAAAAGGAAGCCACCTGACTACGTCGGAAATTTGGCGCTACTGCTCGACCTCCCCGGTCGGAGACCTAGAGGCAGACCCAAGACAAGGTGGAGGGACGTAGTGCTGAAGGACAAGAGAGAATGCAATGTTGCTGACGTGGATGTCGAAGACAGAGCGAAGTGGAGGAGTAAAGTCAGGAAAGCTGACCCCACCACCATGTGGGATAAATAGCTGGGAAGAGAGAGAGAGAGAGTATTCAACCAGCATAGTATTTTAAAATTTCGTGTAATATCCTTAAATAATTCGGAAATAACAGCCAAGTAGTGTCTGCAATACTTAGAGAATTTTTTTAAAGCTTCTCAGCGATAGTCGGTTTTAACTTTAAAAAATAAGGCAAGTTCATATACGGCCGTTTTCAATAACCTATCTATCCCTAGTTTCGGTTACTAAAGATAGACAAATCTATATTTTTGTCCTTACTTACGTTCCAATAACCTATCGACGGGCAGCAGTTCCTATCGGATTTATCTATCCATCGTCGGGAGGACGGATAGCCTGCTAAAGATAGAACGCTCATACAAATCGTGCTTACTTCAGTTTCAATATGAGTTTTAAGTAACTCTCCGGTAGGCGGCGCTATTTCTAGTATGGGCATTCGCTTATCTGTCAAAATCGGCCGGTTACATGTTTATCTTTCGAAAGTAAATCGCTATAATTTAATAATTGTTTCTCTTCATATTGGCATATTGTAGCAGTGATGATAGTGATATGGAATTATTTCAAATGATAATGGATTGTGATGCAGATAGTGATAGTGAGGCCAATATCATATGGTTAGGAAAATAAAGATCGTCTGAATTACATGGCGAAGATCAATAACTACGAATTTGACTATAGATTTCTGAGCAAAGGTGTTGTGAATGAATTGATTAATTTAACGAGACCATCACGTCGTCACGAACGTCAAAAAGGTAAGATAAATTTTAACCATAAAAGTACTCGTTATTACAACTTATATTTGTTTATAGCAATAGCAAAATTATACCTAATTTTTGTTGTGTTACAAAATCACACTCAACAGGAATTCTATAATACTGCTGGATTCCCATGGTGCCCTAAATGACATTCATATACTAATACAATAACCTGGTAGGCTATNTTTAAATATAGCAACATTATTTCACAAAGTGACATTAGCTACTGTCAGCTGGCTTCGTATAATTAACATAGATAATAGACTAAATAGAATTTATTTTTTTTGGCTCCGGCACGGTTGTGCAATAGCCAGCATCAAGTAATAAGATTTTTATAATTCGCCGTTTTAATTAATTAGTTTATGAATAATAAAAAGAAACGAAGGAAACTAATCGCGACATAATATAAATGATTAAAAACGAATTAACTTTACAAATGAGACGATATGTGATGAAATATAATCTCAGTAAAGTAGTGAACATTTACTGAGATTTTTTCAGTGGACTTTTTGAAGGATCCCGAAAAGCTACGTCCAGCGGTTTTGTTTCATTTTCCCACAATTCTGCACTTTTACAGGTTCTAAACAGTTAATAAACCACCGTTATTACATATTTAAAACTGAAGAAACACTAAATAGACAAAATAGAACACTCCTCGCGTTCCCGCAAAAAAAAGTCGATGTCGATAATACATTATGTAGGGTAGGTAGGTATGTGCCGTACATATTAATTAGTACCGTACCTACTATTATTTTGCTAAAATCACTTCGCTGGTTTATTGATTCATCCATTATTGACAGGCAAATCGGGCAAGCGGAGCATAGCACATATTTTTTAATTCTTAAAACTAAGGCGAAGCCCGCTATTGTATGAAAAGCGAAATGGAACAAAATGAAATTAAGTAATATTTTGTGCCTTAAATTTATTGTACAATGAAATTGAAATCGTGGGAAAAGTACGGTAAAATGGTAAAATGGCAGAAATCTCCAACCAACCAAACCAATGAGATCATTAGACTATGAGTCCATTCCGTTTATAGAAACATAATAATTACATTTAAAGCTGAGGTACAAAGTCTCTCCATTTAATTTTTCGTGCATAACCAACAGATGCTTCCTTAAAACAATAATTTTACTCATCGAATAACTTTACGACTTTATGAGCAATGTTTCTTTTGCCGGTCCAAATAGAAAATTAAACGAAAAAATAAAATTGACTGACTGTCCATTGTCCAATAATACTTACCAAATGATCTCATTTTATTGATCAAATAGGTATAGTGCTAATCAGTGTTACTATTTCTTATAAAAATTAGAAACTAGAAATCAGTAATGGCCAAACCTAAGAACGAAGATGCTTCTGAGGAAGCTAAAAAAATTGTAGACGACGCTAAAAACTTTATCGAGAGAGCCATTGCAGATATTGGTAAAACTTCAGCAACTAAGCAGCTAATTTTAGGAACTGCATCAGGATGGTAAGCTATTATCCATAGATTCATCATCATAGATCAAATGATGATTTTGCATTGTTCATGACGTAACTTTGTGAAAAAGTTCAGAAATAGAGTTCACTGTATACATACTGTGATACCCAAGAAACCTTTTTTTCTGTGCAATTTATCGTCACAAGTTTATTTTTTTATTCGTAATAAGAAAGCACCGTAATTCGTAGCAAGTTTGTCATTCTTATTATTAAAATATTCGCTTTACCGGATTTATTTAATATTACAATTTTCGTAATTTTATGTATATGGTTGGTATGGTACGTCCATCATGAAAGAACATTGACTAAATCAGTCTAGCAATATTTTCATTTACGAGTTTGCTAATATTCTATTTAGACTATAGCTTTCACTGGGCGTCACCATTGTCAGTGATTTTTATGGGCACTACCTTGTAATGGTAACTACATCTCCAGGAATCCACATAATAATGAAAGACTTTAAAAATTATTAAGCTTTAAGTAATAGTACCTCAAGAAACATTACTTAAATCAGACAGTTGAATTAAGAAACAAATTTATTTTTAGGATAACTGGTTTCATTTCTATGAAGATTGGAAAAGTAGCAGCTGTTGGACTTGGAGGTGGAGTCATTCTTCTACACATTGCAAGCCAAAAAGGCTACATTGATATTAATTGGGATAAAATAAACAAAAAAGTTGATAAGATCAGTGATAAAATTGAAAAAGAAGCTACTGGAAAATCCCCAGATTGGTTTGAAAAGGTAAATACTTTGTTCATCCACTACATTTTTGTCTCATCGAGACGTCATGCTATTGCAACTGACCAGTTTTTAACATGTTGGACCCCATAAGAAAAATCCAGTATTTTCATTCAGACCATGGAGCTCATCAGTGAGCCTTATCTTACTGAACCATTTGGGCCGTGAGGGTCACCATGAGTCACATGGGGATTCAAACATAAACTCTTCTTACAAGCCACAGATAGCAGCTATCAAACAAAACGCGTATGGAAGTGACTTGCATGCCCCGTACAACTGAACCGAACAGTGTTTTTCTAATCCAATAGAAACTTGTCATTTTTATGAAGGTTTTTATGAAGAAAATCAAGTTCATAAAAATTACTAATTCTCTGATTTTGACTTGGCGTGAATGGTATGGTACGCTAGGCCCACTGGTGCGCCACAAAGTGTTCAACATGTTAAATATAATTCTGTTCAAGCCCACATAGTGTAGGACACGGCCAATGCAAAAATATATCTATTACATTCTAGATTCTATATAATCTAATGTAGTATAGATTCAGCCACTGGTTAAATAACTTACATAAAGTTATTATTCAACATCAATGATTCAGTATTTTTTCCAAATCTAATTGAATCTAAATAATATTTAATAATTCAACCACTTCTTAACACCAAATCACAACACATGATGTCATATATGTAATCATTATGTATAACATATATATGTATATGTATACCATATAGAGATATTTCTTTTTAATGTACATATTCTACATAATACTGCTTATTTCAAAATAAAAACTTCCAGCATAGCTTTAAAAACTGAAGATTTTGTTGTGTACAAAAAAACCTTACATAACATTACATTTTATTGTACATAGTTCCCTTTCTAATGTTATTTCATTGCTTATTTTCGCCCTAAAATATGTCAAGTAGCAAAGTTATGTTTATTAGGGTTTCAACTGTATAACTATTGATGTTATGATCGTGAACAATAACATTTCTTAGATCATATCATTCATCAAAGTCAAGTATTTTTTACATATATGTGTAGTATTATCATACAACTCTTTAATCATATTAACAACAATACTGATTTTGGTAAAAACTAAAGACTTGTAGAAAATATATATATACCATTTCTTCAAATTTGAATTTATTGAAGAATAATAATAGAAACATGCTATGTTCTCTCAAATAGAATTATTTTGCTTAAAATTATGTTAACAGATTTGTATTAGTATGATTACAGAACCCTGAAATATGTTCCATTTACATGTATCAATGTACTTTTTGTTACAGGTTTTTGTTTTTGTCAAAAGTAATTCATATTATTCAGCAGGGTTTACGGGAGGATTTTTATTTGGTATTGCATCTTCATAATTATCAGTTGAATTTATAATATCTTAATGTGAGTTTAACAATTTCAATTCATTTTAAATTTAATTTATGACAATTAGTAATTTTAAAGTCAATGAAGTCAATAAGTAATCATACTCTTACATAAAAGTAAGTCAACTAAAGAGTGTTATGGTTAGCTATCACTTTTTTTTAACTACTAATTTCGTGGTATTGATACCAGTTGGACATAACTTAGCATAAATAACTCATACAATAGTATAAACAACATATTATATAGATAACCATGCAGGTACTTATATCACCTAATTTTATTAAAAAAATACAGATCAAGAATTAACAAATTATATTCTCTCTATAGTCTGAACTTAGAATAAAAACATTGGCTGTCGATCTAGAATAGCTTTATCTCTTCCTGAGCTTCCTGAACTATTTATTCAATCAAAGAATGAGCAGTGTCATAAGTATTATACCAACAAACTGAGATGAATAACTAGAATTTAATGGAAGTAGGCTGTATTGTGAGCCTGCACGTTAGGGTGCAACCCTCAATTGAGTATGAGTTGTTAGACATGTGTTTAAAATAATAAATTTAAAGTCATTATAACTGGACACTGGAGAAATTGAAACAGGAAATACTAAAGAATAACATGCATTCTAAAAATCATTTCATATCATATCAGTTGAAGATTTAATTGAACATCAAAATAAAAACACTCCTTAGGTCTTCTAACTTACACATATATATATATATATATTGTTCTTAGTATTTTTTATGAGTTATTTTTTGATGGAACATTGCATGTTACGCATATAGATACGATAATGTAAATGTTAAATTCCAAATTTTAATTTAGTTTTGATCCATTTTAACGCTTGCCCGTAATAATACATATGAGATTGATTAATTTAATTAGGTTACCTAAATAGTTATTAAAACATTACAGGTGGAAAGATTTGTAGACCGAAAATTGGATAAAGCTGAAGAACTTATAAAAAAGAAGGAAATAAAGGCAAAAAAATGGTATAATAATTTCACTGGTGATGACCAATACCGTGCTACAGAATCACATGTCTTTTTGGCAGCATTTTTTGCTGGAATGGCTATTGGTCTAATTTGCGGAAAGTAATTCAGTTGTATTAAATTAAACTACCACTTGTATTACATAAATAATAATTTCGTGTAGTATTTAACCTGAGATCTTTTCTTTAATTATAATTTTAGTTTAATAGATCTAAACATAATAATTATTAAATAAACATGTATGTAACTTATTCGAGTTATTATTTCATTTTACCTCATATATTACAGAGCGCGTTTAGAAATTAATTTAAAATATTTATTAAAATATATTTTCTCTAAATGTCCATGTTCTGGTAAATTATCGTCTCGTGGCCCTATTCGTTCAGTGACCTTGATTATATTATATACCTACCTGCTTGGATTATTAAATAGACCAAAACAATTCCATAAAGGCCAAATTTTTGAAAAGTGATGGATGTGAAAATATGTTTTTACAAATTTGCTAGTCCACGATCTATGATAAATATATTCCCGTATTTGAAAAGGTTTTTATAAAGTTTCTTATACCATAAGACCAGTTTTAAAATCAACAATTTTTTTCTGTTCGGATAAATTCAAATGGTACTTAAAATGAGAACCAATTTAAAAGTATGGTACTTTTAGCAATAGGTATATTGTTCCTGTCATTGAAATTTCAAATAATGTTTAAAAAAATAGTTCTTGATAAGAGTATTCAACCAGCCTGTTCTTATGTATGGCAGCGAAACATGGGCGGCAACCAAAAGGAACGTACATACCATTCAAGTTGCTGAAATGAAAATGCTGAGGTGTATGTGCGGCGTGACTAGGCTCGATAAAATCCGCAACGAGTACGTGCGTGGAAGTCTAGGTGTACGGGACATCGCCGACAAGATGCAGGAGAGTAGGCTGAGATGGTATGGTCACGTGAAAAGGAAGCCACCTGACTACGTCGGAAATTTGGCGCTACTGCTCGACCTCCCCGGTCGGAGACCTAGAGGCAGACCCAAGACAAGGTGNATAAAATAGGTCTTGATCCTGATGTTGTTTCGTATTTGTAGTAGAACGAAACGTATCAAGAGGCTCGGATAAATCGGAGGGAAGAAGCTATCTACTGTTGGTTAAAGAGAGATAGCACTTATCCGTGATTGTGAAACGCAAACTAAGGATAGATACGCTCTTGCTGATATTCGGAGATAGCTATCTATCCGAAAACTCAGATACGTTATTGAAAACGGCCGATAGCCTATACCTACCGCCCGTCACCGCGCGGTGGAAGCATTCACATGACAGAACATGTACGCGCGACAATCTGGCATCAACATTGGAGAATGGACATGGAAGAGGCAATTTGCTTATGGATTTTATATCAAAAACTCAGACGTCGGAGAAGACAGAGACGATACTGGGTGCCTCCTATTTTAAATAAAACTTTCTTTTTTCATATCCCGACCTAAGATTACACGAAGATTTTTTTAACTACCTACTTTAAGATGTCAGTTGCTTTTAATTTTTTGATTGCGTTGAAAACTGAAAAAAAAATGTCGATAATTTTGGCACGTACGAAAATTTTCGAGTTATTGAATTTTTTAAATTTTATGCCTAATTTGTCACGAACATAGGTATCATTTCAAGGTAATAAAAAGGTGTGTGCTAAATTAGCAACAACTACTGTTTTTTTTAGTAAATCAGTCAATTTATTCGAGTCCCTATTTTAACTTATTATGTTACACTAACTAGTGATAAGTTAGGTAAGTTTGTATTTTCGAAATAAAACACAAAGGGGCCAGGGTTAATTTAACAAAAAGTTTTATTGTAATAGTCAAACAACTCACGTGGTCCTAAACTTTCTAAAAATAATTTATACTTGTGAATGTAGTCATTCTTCAATGTTAAAATGGCTCGACTGTAATAACTTCTCTCTTTGTTCGATAAGGTATCCCATGTTACTTCACCATTTTCATTCGTTGTTTTAATTATAGCAAACAATTCCCTTCCTGATCTGAAACCAAAAAGTTACGTTTGTTAAAAAAATATCAATCTAATCAAATAAACACGTTAATGTTTATTGCGGTCTCCAAATAATCGCTTAATATAACAAATATTCGATTATTCTTGAATAACTAAGACCTAACATATGGGACCTCTGATCGTGAAGACCGTGAAAAAACTCCCAAATCAAAGAAACGCTCTGACTTCAAAATAATACTTAATCTTAGTTTTTCTGTGTGAAAAAACGTAAATGTCACTGATTTTTTAGAAAATCAGAAGTCAGCATATACAAATGGCGATGAATTACATGTTACTCCTCCATGACCACGAAAACTGGATGGTACCATTCTAAATAAGATTAAATGGGTTTAATTAACGCGAGATTAAATTATAATAGTTTTAAAGATGTCTCATTTCGTCCACTTTAAATCAATGATTTTTATAAAACATTCTAGCTCTTTCAAGAATCGACGTGAAGAACTGGAAATCTCTAAGCTTGAAATTGAAATACAGAATTGCATATCAATCAGAGACAGCTGAAAATGTTTTCTTTTTTAATAATCGTGATTTATTCATCATATCATATTAATTTATTTATAATGGACAATTATAGACCATGTTTAGGACAAGGTTTCTTGAAATAATTGTCAAAAAAAATCCGCATTCATAAGAAAAGAAAATCCGACATTGTGATTCGTCGACAAATAGATGGATTCTTATGTAAGGAAACATTTATGTACCGTTAAATACGCCAACTTTGCCCAAAACACACTTTCTAAGGAAATCTATGTACTAATTTGATACTAGTAAAAAGTATCAAATTTACGACAGCGTTTATAACATTGGTAGAAAATCAAATATACCTGTGATATGTGATATCACAGGACACGAGAGAGAGACAGAATATTCTTTATTGTACACCAAAAAGTGCAATTGGCGGTAATGTTTTCAGGATTCATGTACATAATATGTCTATTGTGTTTGTTGAGAATTGAGAACACTACTACTACTGTTGAGATTTTATGTATCCCTATGTATCTTTCAGCCCGCAGACGTCCACTGCTGGACATAAGCCTCCTTAAAGTCTCGCCAAAATAATCGGTCCTGTGCTGCTTGCATCCAGTAGACCCCCGAGAATCTTATTAGATTCTCAGTCCATCGTGTAGGAGGCCTACCTACGTTACATCTTCCGGTACTAAGAGCAATGCGCCCTGCTCACTGCTTCCTTTGGGCTATGTACCCAATTTGAATATCGAATAATTATTTTATTCTTTATTACTTATAATAATTCGCCATTTTGTATTTCAGAAAAACAAACATAAATCGCGTATTCGACAAAGATCGAGACGTGAATTTAGGCCTAGGACGTACAAATTTTAAATCTAATTATCAGATTTTACGTCTTCTGTTATAAAAATTAGTCTTTGATTTTAATTGACTGAAGTCTTTAGTAAATAACTGCACTTTAAAAATTGATTTTGTTACTCACCTACTCTGAAAGACTGTATACTCAAACGTGACAACCCTAGAACTTTTAAATCGCTACGTACCGTATGTATGGAGAAGAGAATAAATTTCAGGATAACATTGTCCTTTCATTTTAGTAGGAAAATATTTATGATATTGAGTAGGTACCTAAACATTTTGCGCGATCGCTTATATTGCCAAAATGCCTTTTTGCTTCTTATGGCGTTCGTGTTATTGTTTTGCTAAAATACGGTACGGTACGGTACGGACGGTACATTTTAGGCACGGTACATTTTAGGCAGAGTTTTAAAATTACATAACAATTTTTATTCTGTAATTTTTAGGCAGTTTTAAAATTAACAAGTTTTATTTTATAAGTAATTCGATGACACTTAATAGTTATTATTTAGTAATTCGATGACACTTAATAGTTATTATTTAGTAATTCGATGACACTTAATAGTTATTATTTAGTAATTCGATGACACTTAATAGTTATTATTTACCGTATGAATGCATACAATAACTAATAATTATGTGGTACATGTTCCTTTTTCGTACAAATTTAATCTTGTATTTAAGAATATTTTTGTATTCTATCAGATGGACTGATATTGAGTTAGTTACTTATGAGAACTGTGAATTTTTTAACGCTGGGGAATCCATTTACGGATACCCGGTCGAGGGGGGTAACGAACCGGAAGGGCCGAGGTCCTTCACCTCCCACAATTTCTCACAGGAGACTACGCCTTGAAAAAGGCGCGCGAAGCACTTGCCCCGCAGAACGACTACCGACTAAACCCCATCGAGCTCCACCACACCGACTACACGAAACTTACGGTACCGCGATGCGCGCCGAAAGTCTCGCCTGAATTATAGACCTAGATTACACCCACAGTAGAGACAAAACACAGTGCAATGGTCTGATGCTTTCTGACAACAAACAGACCAAAATTGCATGTATATGATTCAATACAGATGTAAATGAAGTTGAGTTTTCTGACGAAGGCAAAACCAAAAAGGCTGATATAAATTGAAGAGAGATATTAATAATTTTACCAATCACTGCTTTAAAGCCATACTTTTAATAATTAGGTATGAGATAACAATTAAAAACCCTTACTTAATGGTGGGCGGCATTGGTTCTGGATTTGGCATTAAAGAAGATTCTTCTAAAAATTCTTGGTTTTCCTCATTCGTTTTTGTAAGTAACTCCTCTATCCTAAATCGGGTGAGAATAATTTATTTTTTAAGCTGTAATTAGCACTGTTCATACAGTTAATGAATAATATCAATGAACTCTTTGTATGCAAAAATATTAAATCATTAGAAGTCTAGGATAATAATAAGATAGTGTGCTCAGATCAAAAGATGCTATTTTAGTCTTGAAATCTTACAGGCAGAAACCAATTTTTCTAATGATATACATATACACAGAAGGTCAGAGCAGTCACATTTTCAAAAAATCTTTACTCAGTTTATTTGATTATTTGTGAATTAATTTAACATTTACTCATCATGCATAATACTCTCTAGTTGCAGGTTATTGTCCTCTTCCACATCACCTATTTGTACTTCTTTCGGTGTTTCTGCAGATTTCAAATGGATTTCTTCAATATTACTTGTTTCTAGAATATTTGATACACTTGATTCATTGTTTGTGATATCTGGTGACCTGAATAATAAATAACAATTAAATAATAACAACTTTTACTGTGAATAGAAAAGTTTATAAGTTCACAATTTTTTAAATGGCAATAAGTTGAATAATTTAGATTTAATTAAGTTTCATTTGCATGAAAGCTCAGATTCGTAATAATTTTTTTGAGAAATTAACAGGCTCGTCTGTATTTAGTAAATAAGATTGCTAAAAAAACATTATCTTGTGGTTATTTTTTTAGCAGCTTATTTATTAGGCAGATGTCTTGTTTATGATTTTGCACCACCATGAAATATTAAATGAAACTTTTTATAATAAGAAATTTCATATCTGATGTGTATCTCAGACCACACATGAGTCGACTATTATCAAAGCCGGCAATGTGACTTTTGGATAATTATTGGTAAATCAGAAAAACGAATTATTGAATTTGTATTCTATTGGCAGTCACAAAACTCTTCTGAACGACATCTTAGATAAATAACAGGTTAAGTATTAACCTTTATTTAATGCAGGTTTTGAATCGCATTCTTTGAAGGAGACGATTATATTCAAATCAATCTGTATTGAAATATCAATAATTTTTTTTTGTCCAAATGCACAGATTGCCACCTTTGATAATAGACTACTCACATATTTCTTTGCAAATGCAATTTAATGTGTTTAGTAGTTTTCTTAATATGGGTGTTAACCCTTTATATGAAAAATACTCATATGAATTGATATAATTGCCTCCTACGTACTGTAGCTTGAATACAAAATCCTTATGAAAGAATAGCAGGATTATTTTACATAGCAATGCCTTATCAAGTATTCAAAAACCACAAAATTTTATGTTGGTCAACTAAAATCATTGATGAAAATTTATTGTACCTTTTCTGATGTCTTTTTTTTACAAAAACTTCAGCTTGTTTAATGCATTCCCCTATTTTTTTTATATTTCTTTCTTTACATTCATTATATTTATTCAAAAATTGGTACTTCTCTGTTTCTTTGAGTGATACCCAAGTTTGGATTGCTTCAGTCATGGCAATGGATTTCTACAATTAAATCTATTATCAGTACCAAAAAATTTATTGTAAATATGTATGAAGAGGGTACATGGGCCATGAAGTTAGGAACACGCAGTGCTTATTGGTTTAAGCCCTTATGACATGGGGTCTTAGCCGCGTCCCGGCGTGGCGGAAGTTCGAGCGCCGAAGCTTCAATATATACCGAATACAGCAATATATGTTAGTGCTACATCCACCGAGTCAGGGCAGTTGTTCTGCACATCTCCCACAGTCCAAGTGTGTAGAACAAACAGTGTTATTACATGCTAATATAAACATTACATCAAATCTTAGTACCAAAATGAATGTTTTATTTCTTACCGGTATACCATCTTGAGCCCTTCTATTGCAGTACAACTTAATATATAACTGAAAAGCACTTTTTGGCACATTAGTAAAAATCTTTGCCATTTCCATATCCATACTCGAGGTGATTATATATTTATTATTTAGGTGTGTTTTTTAAAGTTAACGCGTAGGTACAGTACCGCATTCGCCAAAAGCGTTTCTTATCATGTCATATTTTTTTAAGGGATTTTATGACCTGGTTTTTGAGACCTTTAGTCATGTCAGTCTTGTCATATCAGTCTTTAGTCAAGTCATGTCTTATTTTAATTTATATATTCTTATTTTTATGAAGAATGATGGTAATATGGAGTGAAATGAAATGAGATGAAATAAAGATGATTAATTTGAGACATTAATCAACTGGGATGAAATTAAATGAAATGAGATTAGATGATATGGTATGAAATGTAATCTCAGTAAAATAGTGGTCATTTTTTTGTTTTGTTTGTTTAAATTATTTCATTTGTTTCATTTTCCCACATTTGTGCACTTTCACAGATACTAAGCAGTTAATAAACCACCGCTATTACACATTTAAACCTGAAGAAACATTAAATAGACAAAATAAAACAAATCGCACAACTTGACACCTCACGTTCCCGCCAAAAAGTTCTTACGGTGGGTACCGTAAAATGGGGCGATTAGGGACAAATTCCAACTTTATGACCAATTTTAAGGTAGTTGTTGATGTATATAATGCTATATCAGGATCAAAATGATTGAGTCTTGGGGGCATCTTTGTTGTCTAATTTAAAATTATGCATCTGACATTCCAGTTTAAGCAAAAAATGCAAAAATAGGTGTAATCCCTATTTACCCGAANCGAGTAATTAAGGACGAAAAAATATTAAAAATTGCAATCGAGGGGCTAACTTTTAGATATATTTTTAATATTTTTTTTAAAATAAATAAATGGGGAACAAACAATTATTAACAGTGAACAATCAAGAACAAATGATGAACAAACGAATTAATAGAAAATAAGTAGAAAACAGGAAAAAAAAATTTTTTGAGGGGCTAACTTCATTCACCTGGTACAGAATACAGTAGGTAGTAGTAGTAGTTTTATTTTTCTAACTAGAAAGGCAAGAGTATCGTACCATACAGCCTAGTTTTTGAAGTGAAACTTCTTTATCGACGTAGGGAGGAAAAAACGTATGTAACGTGTATGTATCTTAATTTCTTTCGTTACGCAACATGTTTATTTCTATTTAGTTTGGTATCAACAGATGGCACTGCACAACAATTCCTGAATCGCGGTGACGAGATGTTACACAGTTGATAGACGTTCTCGTCGTATAATTTAGCAAGAGGAATTCTTGCTAAAACAAACTAACTTGGCGTCGGGATACCGTGATCATGCAGGCGGCTCTCCCGGGTTGCGGCTGCTCCGTTGTACTGCGGAGTGGTTGACCCTTGCGATTATTTTCATATTTTATAAGTTTCAGTTCTGCCGTGTGTGACTTGCACACACACACATTTTATATATATATATATATATGTTTTTATGAAAAATGATTTTATGAAGTGAAATGAAATGAAGATGACAGCCCACCTGGTGTTAAGTGGTTACAGGAGCCCATAGACATCTACAACGTAAATGCGCCACCCACCTTGAGATAAAAGTTCTAAGGTCTCAAGTATACTTAGAACAGCTGCCCTACCCTTGAAACCGAAACGCATTAATGCTTCACGGCAGAAATAGGCAGGATGGTGGTCCCTACCCGTGCGGACCCACAAGAAGTCCTACCACCAGTAATCACGCAAATTATAATTTTGCGGGTTTAATTTTTATTACACGATGTTATTGCTTCACCGTCAAAGTCAATCGTGAACAATGGTTGAGCACGTATTTCATTAGAAAAATTGGTACCCGCCTGAGATTCGAACACCGGTGCGTTGCTTAACACGTATGCGCCATGCCAGACGGCTTATTTTTTAGGCCACGAAAGTCTCTTATTCAGAATTTAATTCGACCCATAGATAACTCACTTAATATTTGGAATTCAAGTGCATGTCTTAAAACAAAGATTAAATGTTGTGTATTACCTACACAAGCGAAGTAAAATGATATTGAAACAGACTTTTTGGCGGGAACGCGGGGACAGAAGTTTTGTGAATTGCTTTATTTTGTCTATTTAGTGTTTCTCCAGGTTCAAATGTGTAATAACGGAAGTTTATTAACTGTTTAATATTTGTGAAAGTGCACAAATGTGGGAAAATCAAACAAAGCTGCTGGACGCAACTTCTTGGGATCCTCCAAAAAGTCCACTGAAATTTTTTTTGTAAATGACCACCATTTTACTGAGATTATATTCCATCCCATATCATCTCATCTCATTTCATTTAATTTCATCCCAGTTGATTAATGTCTCAAATTAATCATCTTCATTTCATTTCACTCCATATTATAATTTTTCATAAAAAAAAGATTAAAAAACTTCAGAGGTGTCAAGGGACACCCGGATGGAACGAAGTTCCTTTCGATTAATTAGTGAAGGAATTGTAATTTTTTTTTTAAGTAATAATGATAAATTACGGCATTATGAAGAAAAAAAAAACAATACTATGAACTAAATTACTATTGTTGAAACGCTATCTCGAGAGACTGTACTCATTACGCGGACCAATCGGATACGAGCAATGTCACGCAATAAGCGCCTACACGTTGATTGGTCAGAATGACGGATCTAAAAAGTGTCGTGACAACTTTTCGTAAGAATTTTTTTCGTCTAGCCCCCTTTCACAACGCGCGATAAGGAACTTCGTTAAAAAAATTCAAATAAGACTTGACCTAAAGGTCTTATAATTACCAGGTCATAAAATCCCTTAAAAAAGAACGTAATTATTATTAGTTTTCAAATTATTAAGTGTATAGTTTATGATAAATAGAATAGACAAGGCTTTATGGGCTCAGATCCCCTTGCCTTTCCTAATAAGGAAAATTGTACAAAAAAAAGGCTATAATCAATGATCATAGTATCACAGTAATTTATTTAGAAGTAAATCTAAAAAAATGTGAATGGAACCTTTGCCAAAGAAAATTACACATAAATATTTATTCAATACCAATATTAATTCGGAATGTATTCATTGAAACTTTTTAGGACATTCTCAAACTTTATGCACAATGTAACTATAACCTTTCGTAGAAAGAAAACAAGCTTAGGATTATGGGTATGGATGTGGTGTAATATTTATTAAATAACAGTAGATTTTGTTTGAAAGCCTTTACTTTGCTCTTTAAAATATAACTACGAATAGAAACGTACTGCGATGATTTAAGTAACGAAAAAATAAAGTGCAATGATTAGATTTTTTGTTGTTGTTTAAGTTTTTTATTTAAATCCGCTAAGAACTAAGAACATAAGTAAATTGAAATAGTTTGTTTTTAATATATTACAGCATGAAGATGTTAACAGAGATATAAAAATTAAAATAGAAAAATATTGGTCAAATGAAGTGTTGCACAGAGAAATCAGTAATGCCGATCCTGTCTACTATGTTTTACCTATGTTCCCTTATCCTTCNGTTGTTGTTTAAGTTTTTTATTTAAATCCGCTAAGAACTAAGAACATAAGTAAATTGAAATAGTTTGTTTTTAATATATTACAGCATGAAGATGTTAACAGAGATATAAAAATTAAAATAGAAAAATATTGGTCAAATGAAGTGTTGCACAGAGAAATCAGTAATGCCGATCCTGTCTACTATGTTTTACCTATGTTCCCTTATCCTTCTGGTAACCTACACATGGGACATGTTAGAGTGTACTCGATATCTGATGCTTTAACACGCTTTCACAAGTTAAATGGATACAAAGTAATACATCCAATTGGTTGGGATGCATTTGGTTTACCTGCTGAAAATGCTGCAATCGAAAGGAACATACCACCTTATAAATGGACAAAATCTAATATAGAGAGGATGAAACAACAATTGTTACAGTTGGGTTTTGAATTTGACTGGACTAGAGAAATATCAACTTGTAACCCTCATTATTATAAATGGACACAGTACATATTCTTGAAGCTGTTGGAAAATGGCTTAGCTTATCAATGTAAGGTACTTATTCAATTAAGGTATCTTAATATTAAAAGAGTTCAATCTCACACATCTTATAATCATTTAAAGTAAAAATACAACGTGCGTGATAGAACCAAATTCACAATACTTTAATAAAAAAATTCATAGACTTATCTTCCAAAGAAATATAAAATAAATATTTTTGGATAAGAACTAATACGAAAAAAATTCAATTAAATATAATTTTATGTTATATTGTGGACCAAGTTTATACACAGTGTTGACAATGATTAGTAAGATTGGTTATTTAATTCCAGGCTGAAGTGAACTGGGACCCTGTAGATCAAACAGTATTAGCTGATGAACAAGTGGATGATCTTGGTTGTTCATGGAGATCTGGGGTGAAAGTAGAAAAAAAGTTACTGACTCAATGGTTTATCAAAACTACTAAGTATGCCAAAAAATTATTAGATGGATTAAAAGACAAAAGCTTAGAAAACTGGAAGGACATAATTAATTTGCAAAGACACTGGATTGGTGATTGTGATGGCACAGTAGTAACATTCAAGTTAAATGTTGATGGAACCATGAAACTATTTGATGTATGGACTAAAAATCCCTACAAATATATACATGGTAATTTTATAGTAATGAAAAGTAGTCATCCTCTGTTACAAGGGCATACATACAACTCTGGCCTGTCCTGTCTAAATCCAATAACAGACTCAGAAATGCCTGTCTACATATGTGATACTGTTGAATATCCAGAAGGTAGAGATGTTTTGATTGCTTGTCCAACTCAAGATGAAACAGATAATCAAATTGCACAAGCCTTGCAAATTTCCATAGATCAAGTGAATAAAAAAGACATAGCTATTGAAAGTGACAGTTTAAAAGCTATAGAGATTGCTACGAACAAGAATGTAGGTGGTCACTTTGTTAGTTCCAAACTTAAAGATTGGCTCATATCCAGACAGAGATACTGGGGTACACCAATACCCATAATATACTGTCCCAAATGCAATATTGTTCCTGTTCCTTATGAAGATCTGCCAGTTGTATTACCAGAACTTGATACTCACTCAGGCATCCAAACATTACAATCATTAGATAATTGGGTCAATTGTAAATGTCCTAAATGTCACTCGAATGCTAAAAGAGAAACTGATACAATGGACACATTTGTTGACTCTTCCTGGTATTTTTATAGATTTTTGGATCCTAAAAACGAATTTGCTCCTTTTAATAAAGAAAAATTGAAGAATTCTACACCAGTTGACATTTATATTGGGGGTAAGGAACATGCAGTGCTACATTTATATTATGCTCGGTTTATGAGTTATTTTTTAAATTCTTTGGGAATGACTTATGTTGAAGAGCCTTTTAAAAAATTGTTGGTACAAGGGATGGTAATGGGACAATCTTATAAAGTTAAATCTTCTGGTAAGTATTTACCACCTGAAAATGTAGAAAAAGTTGGAGAAATTTATAAAGAAAAAGTCACAGGTGAACCAGTATTAGTTCAGTGGGAAAAAATGAGCAAATCAAAATACAATGGTGAAAATCCTGAAAGACTCCTTGAGTCTTATGGTTGTGATATGACAAGACTTTTAATACTAGCTGATGTACCACCAGGTACACCCAGGCGTTGGTCTGATGCAAGTGAGTTCATGATATTATTTTTCTTTTTAAATCCATTCCTTTGAGATCTAAATATCAGAAAAATTTCAAATGAATATCCCATAAATTGTTATGTTTTTTAGCATTGCCTGGCTGTTTGAACTGGCAACATCGTCTTTGGATGACTATGAGAGAATTTCTAAAATATCGTGCGAATAACTTTGAAAGTAATAGCTTGAGTCCTGAAGAATTCAAAAAAATTGAGAACAAAATCTGGGAAAACCGAAACTATTTTACTGCTACCACTACATATCATTTCAGGGACACTCAAAAACTCAGTGTTGGCATTTCCCGACTTCAAAGCTTAACAAGTACTCTACGGGTAAGGCAAGATTTGTTTTTTTATTAAAAAAATTCCAATACATATACCTCAAGCTATTGCCTCTATTTCCTGGTCGCCTACTTCTAGTAGAAGTATCCTTACCTATTTTTATACGCCACTTTCAAACCTAGGCAATATCTCCTCACGTCCTATTCCGCAAGAATTAATGGTAAATATTGGCGACGGTACCGATCAAGAGGACCTTCCGTTTCTGCGACAGCTGATTACGATAGTTGATCAGTTTTCACTCATTATTTAAAATTGCACACATATAGCCTGCTTAACATACTGTGCCTTTCATGCGATTACTCTGTTTCGTCTTTTATATATTTTTTATCCAGACGGTCCATCTGATGATAAGTGGTTATCGTCGCTCATGGACTTCAGCAATGCCAGGGGCACAACCTAATCTCTCTCTACTGCAAAGTCTACGAGTAAATGAAATATTCTGTATAATAAAAAAAAAACTTTTAACTAAATTAATATCGCCGCATAAACATGTGTTTTCCCTTAATTCCAGAACAATATTCCACCTGAAGTGTACGCGAGAAGCAAGGAATTCGAATTAGCATTGGCGGCTCTTATTATAATGGCATCTCCTATTACTCCACACTTTTGTTCTGAATTGTGGGCTGGATTATTATCGGCTCCGCATCGAATCTCTTCACATAATTCTACAATTAACTGGGAGAACAATGTATTAGAACAGAACTGGCCTACTGTTGATGATCACTACAAATTGTCATTTTTATGCAAAGTAAGTTTGATTTTATCGTAACGGAATATCGAATAAAAAAATATGATATCTAAACAGATAATGTAAGATGTAACTATACTGAGACTTTAGAACTTGTATCTCAAGGTGGGTGGCGCGTCTACGTTGTAGATGTCTATGGGCTCCAGTAACCACTTAACACCAGGTGGGCTGTGAACTCGTCCACCCATCTAAGCAATAAAAAAAATAAAAAAAAAGATACAGAAATCTAACCTAATTATGAGAAGTCATGTTGCCGGCTCGCAACTAGACACAATAATACACCACCAGATATAAATAATAAAATAATGTTAAGTGTGGGTATCTAAAAATCATTAATTTACTAAATTTTTATTAATTTATTAATTTACTAAATTAAATACTAATTATAATTAAGTCATAGCTTAAAGGATAAGAAGTCTAATCTAATATGTGCCGTCACATACGTGTGCACAAATAGCTTCCACAAAGAAGGATTTTTTTATCTTTCAACAATCAAACTCGCTTAGTATACAAATTTTACGTAACTACTAGTGACAGGACGTATTTGTCAGCGCCCTCGGGTACATACCACCATCCCGGCTATTTATGCCACAAAGCGGTTTTAGTTTCGGCATGTAGGGACAGCCGTTCAACAGTAGAATTCAGAATTTGATATTATTCTCAAAGTGGGTGGTGAAATTCACGTCGGTAAACACATTACACTAGATTTTTTTATTGCTTAGATTGGTTTGACGAGCTCACAACCTGGTGTTAAGTGGTTACTGGAGCCCATAGACATCTAAACGTAAAAGCGCCACCCACCTTGAGATATAAGTTCTAAGGTCTAAGTATAGTTATAACGGCTGCTCCACCCTTCAAACCGAAACGCATTACTGCTTTACGGCAGAAATAGGCGGGATGGTGGTACCTACCCGCGCGGACTCACAAGAGGTCCTACCACCAGTAATTACTCAAATTACAATTTTGCTGGTTTGATTTTTATTACACGATGTTATTCCTTCACCGTGAAAGTCAAACGTGAAGATTACTTAAGTACGTATTTCATTAGAAAAATTAGTACCCGCCTGCGGGATTCGAACACCGGTGCATCGCTAGATACGGATGCCGTGAGGTCTTTTGTCATCCTACACCAAAACTGTATAACGTTAAATTGCAGGTAGACGGAGCAGATAGATGTGAATTAAAAATTAAAGCGGCTGAACTTAATAATTTACACGAAGAAAGAGCTTTGCAAGTCATGCTTAACGAAGAAAGTGTACAAAAGTGGACACGGAGAGGTGTTTTACGTCAAAAGTATGAATTGTATCCGGGTTGTCGGGCCATACTGCATATATTCACGAATAAGAAACAAAAACAAGTAGAAGAAGTTTAAAATAACACAAAATAACATTATTTCGTAGTTATTGTTAAGAATTGAGTAATATTGTGATAATATGAACTTTAATAAATCACAAAACTAAACAGNGTACAAAAGTGGACACGGAGAGGTGTTTTACGTCAAAAGTATGAATTGTATCCGGGTTGTCGGGCCATACTGCATATATTCACGAATAAGAAACAAAAACAAGTAGAAGAAGTTTAAAATAACACAAAATAACATTATTTCGTAGTTATTGTTAAGAATTGAGTAATATTGTGATAATATGAACTTTAATAAATCACAAAACTAAACAGAATGTTTTATTTGAATTAAATACATATCGCATAAGTATATACAGGAACATACAGATTGTCAACAAATCTAATAACAATTATATTGATAGGTACTTAAATCCTAAGGGTGGTAAAAAAAACGATTTCTGATAAGGCAATTCGTTACACAAAATAAAAATAGCTAACATTTAAACCTCATTGAAATCACGTTACGGTTTAATGTTGTTTTCTAGCCCCGTCTCTCTTCAGAGATGAAAATGAGCACTAATTATTAATTTGATTGGTGAATAAGTAAGTTTCCGGCTTATCTACTGTTTTTTAATCGTTTTCCTGTAAATATTTCATCTTTGTACTCTCGTAAATTTGCCGCCGAATCCTGAGAATTGAACAAATAAAAATTATTTTATCTTAAACTATGTATATCGCTGATTTCTAATAAATAACATCAATTCTGAATAGCTATAAATTCTATATATTGTTAAAAAGCATCATATTCTGATTTTGGTAAATGAATGAAATTGAAATACCTTTTTTGCTTCTCGCCATTCTAATGCGCGAAGACGGGCTAAACCTTTCAGATTTCTATCAAGAATATTCAGGAAATCTGCTCTAGATATCTTAGGTGTTGGTGTAGTTCCATTTACAGCAATTGTTTCTGTCGTCGCAGTCTGCAAATGACTTCAAATTTAAGAAAAAACCTCTACATGGTCCCCAGAGAGATGGTTTCAAGTCTTCCGTTGCAGGGGTAATCGTTTTTTAGACGAATTTCCATTCTTCAGAAACGTAAGGTGTTTCGTTGTTAAATACATAATAAATAATCGTTAAATATTTTTTGGGTTTTCGTGGGTATTTGTGTATTTTTGATATACGTATCAGAATATTGTAATAATTAACAAAATCTGTGATGTTTCAAGATTATATTGGTTTTCCGTCTAATATTTCTGGTAACTATAGAAGTCGTAGTTTAAGAGGCCCGGCCCATACGTATCAAGCGATGCGACATTGTTCGAATCCCGCAGTCATTTACCAGTTTTTCTAATAAAATACGTATTTAAATGTTCACGATTGACTTCCACGGTGAAGCAATAACATCGTGTAGTAAAACTTAAAACCCCCAAAATTATAATTTGCATAATTACTGGTGGTAGGACGTCTGTATGTCCGCACACGTATATACCACCACCATGTCTATTTCTCCCGTGAAGCAGTAATGCGTTTCGGTTTGAAAGGCAGCTGTAATACTGTAAAAACTGAAACCGTAGAACTCGTGTGTAAAGGTGGAAGGCGGCATTTACGTTGTAGAAGTCCTTAAGCTTGGGTAACCATTAAACAACAAGTGGCTCGTCCGTTAGCTCGTCCACCCATCTGAGCAATAAAAAAAACTAGAAAACTTTGTAGTAAATTGATCTTTTATCTTTTAGTTAGATAGCCCATTTATTGAGGAAGGCTATATATAGGCTATAACATCACGCTAAGACCGATACAAACGGAGCACCAATAAAGAATGTTTCAAAATCGGGGGTTTTTTTCCTTTTCAGAGCTTCCGCTGCGTGCGCTGTGGAAACGGTTAAAGTTTCGTTAAAATAATGTGTGACAGAATTGTTCCCGTTTAAAAGATCTAAAAAAAGTCCTTGACAGCATATGTCTATATGTTAAGGTTGGATCACTATAACGTTTTTTATGCTAACAAAACGTGTGCTAAAACAAAGCATTATTTGTGAAGGTGTTTTTGTAAAGATGATATTAATCCTTATCCAAATAAATACGTATTCATTACAACATTGAAACACCCAAATCACTTCAAGATAGGCTTCGACAATTATAGATTTCTCCAGGATCCCATCATCAGGTCTTGATGATTAAAGAACAATTCGAAGTCTACCCTTTCGAACAAAAAACAGAAAAGAGAATTATCAGAATCGGTTCAAGCATTATCGAGAAATCGGTGAACATACATAGATAAAAAATGGTGGTCGAATTGATAGATTTTGGCACCTTAAATAGCTCCTTAACAATCTATTATTCAAAAATATTTTCACTTTCTACGTTAATGAAGCTGCGGGTAAAATTTAGCTTTATGCCAAAGTAACTATTCCACGCGGACGAAGTCGCAGGTAAAAGCTAGTTAATAATAATAATGAAAAAATTTTAAAGCCGTTTTATTTTATCAAACAGTATTTTATCTATATTTGAGCGATAAGTATCCGGAAAAAGTAGGTACTAAAATTAAAGTTATTCCAGAATTGCCTTGACTAACAAAATCGAAACTCAAATATCAAAAGCTCTAGATTGTTTCGTTAAAAAATGTATGATTGTTTAAATAGTAGGTACATAGAATAACTTTATTCCTATACTTAATCTACTTACATAGAAATAAACCTGATGATATTACACTTACATTACCATCGGAAAATTGATTGTTGACTAAATCAGAAATTTGACTGTATGCACTTTTGGTATCGTTGACTTGCTGAAACAAGATTTAGAAACAAGATTGTTATAGATTTAGAAACAAAATTGTTATTATGAGAAAGCACGGTTTCGGCCATACAAACATATTGTTCTCCGGTTTCCGCCCGGGACAGAAATGAAGCCGCCAGCGCAAAAGTGGCCTTACCTACAGTTTTTCATATTGATGCTTATATAATGCAATTTACTTAAACATAATAAAATTTGATGCAAAAGCGGCCTATCCCGAGTTCTACCCAAAGCTTACCATAGTTCGGGGACGCCGCCATGGGAGCTGGAGGCGGAGTCGCTCGCTGCCGACTATCGGTGGCGCAGCGAGCTTCGTGCTCGGGGCGTGGCGCGTCTCCCCGAAAGTGAGCTGCGGGCGCGGAAGGCCCATTCTCGGCGGTCCGTGCTCGAGTCGTGGTCGAGGCGATTGGCCAACCCCACGTGGGGGCTACGGACCGTCGAGGCNTTATGCCAAAGTACCTAACTATTCCACGCGGACGAAGTTGCGGGTAAAATCTAGTTTTTTTTTTTTTTTATTGCTTAGATGGGTGGACGAGCTCACAGCCCACCTGATGTTAAGTGGTTATTGGAACCCATAGACATCTACAACGTCAATGCGCCACCCACCTCGAGATATTAGTTCTAAGGTCTCAGTATAGTTACAACGGCTACCCCACCCTTCGAACCGAAACGCATTACTGCTTGACGGCGGAAATAGGCGGGGTGGTGGTACCTACCCGTGTGGACTCCCAAGAGGTCCTACCACCAGTAAAAAAAATAATAATAAAGTTAATAATAATAATGAAAAAAATTCAAAGTTTTTTCAAACAGTATTTTATCTATATTTGAGCGGTAAAGTATCTGGAAACAGTAGGTACTAAAATTAAAGTTATTCCAGAATTGCCTTGACGAACTTAACGTTTAAAATCGAAACTCAAATGTCAAAAGCTCTAGATTGTTTCGTTAAAAAATGTATGATTGTTTAAATAGTACATAGAATAACTTTATTCCTATACTTAATCTACTTACATAGAAATAAACCTGATGATATTACACTTACATTACCATCGGAAAATTGATTGTTGACTAAATCAGAAATTTGACTGTATGCACTTTTGGTATCGTTGACTTGCTGAAACAAGATTTTTATTGTTATTATGAGAAAGCACGGTTTCGGCCATACAAACATATTGTTTTCCGGTTTCCGCCCGGGACAGAAATGAAGCCGCCAGCGCAAAAGTGGCCTTACCTACAGTTTTCATATTTGTGCTTATATAATGCAATTTACTTAAAACCTAATAAAATTTGATGCAAAACCGGCCTATCCCTAGTTCCACCCATATATAACAGATGCCTTTGTAAACATTATTTTTGCACATATTGTTTCTGCTTACGAAGTAGTGTAAACGTAAATTCAAATCTCATTAATTCCATACTAACTATGATAAGCTTAGGTCACTTTTGCGCTGACGGCCACAAATGACCTTTTGTGTTCTACAACTGTCATATTCATGTTTTTTTTTAAAATCCACATACAGTACCTTAGGCAGCAGGATATTTATAAAATGTTAATTGGCTTACCTCTTTAATAAGATTAAATACAGTCCCGAAGAAACCCCATTTTGGCTTCGTTGCAATGGAGTAACCCGCTTTAATTGCAGATTGTCTCTGATATCGGTCCTTGCTTATTATATCATCTGCTGTTGGCTAAAGGAAGACAAGACCATTAACAAACTTAAAAAAACAGTTGCGCCTTTATTAGTCTTTAAGATTTTATATTTATTTTGTTTTAGTATGATTAGTTTGATAAGAAAAAAACGTTCCGCATTTAAACAGCATTAAGCTACGATTTTCTGCGGTGTTCTGCGCAACAAGAAAACAATTACTTAAAACAAAAACACGTTTCATTGTACAAATACAAAATATGTTTAAAAAAAGTACTGACTTCGATCGAGATTCGATCCAGGACACAGGGGCATGATACCAAACGAAAGCAGCTATTAAGTACATAAATAATAAAGATCGAATAAAGTAGCCGTGGTTGTTGCAAGAACCAATCGTCAGCAAGCAACGTTATCTTTCAAAAATGATTTCTTGAAGGGTCGCGTTTAAAAATGACAAATATTGAAAATCGTTCACATATTGTAGATAGTCATGTCACATAATCTTACTGGTGGTATGACCTCTTGTGAGTCCGCGCGGGTGGGTACCGCCACTCTGCCTATTCTGCCGTGAAGCAGTAATGCGTTTCGGTTTGAAGGGTGGGACAGCCGTTGTAACTATACGTGAGACCTTAGAACTTATATCTCAAGGTGGGTGGCGCGTTTACGTTGTGGATGTCTATGGGCTCCAGTAACCACTTAACACCAGGTGGGCTGTGAGCTCGTCCACCCATCTAAGCAATGATAAAAAAAATCATAAATGCGGTATTAACCCGAAACTTTTCATAAAATTTAAAGAAATATTCGTTTTATTCTTTAATCATGTTAATAAATTAAAATCAAAGACATCTAAAAACTCGTACTATTACTAGACTACTACTAGAATATAACTATATACAAGCGCAAAATACAAACTTATTACATTGCCAACCAAATTATTTAAATAAATAATTTAAACAACAACATTTCAATTCCTGAAGCTAATAAGGGCATAATGCACAGCCACGTTCATTGAGTTTATTAGAATGTATTTTTTGCTGATATAATGCTTGTTTCCAACAATATTACTGTGTAAACTCAGCAATTTTTGATTGATTATGTAAAGGTTTTCATTAAGAGCGCTCGAACTTAAAAATAAAATTTAAAAAAGACCAGTCCAAGTAATATTGCCAATATATGCATACATCATAGAAGGTTCGGGGCGTTAAGAAAATGGACGTGGCTTAGACTGATCGAATTATGATTTGATTACAGCATTGTTTTTAAAAATCGACTCTTTTTCTGTTTTTAGGGCTCGGAACCGAACCTCCTGCAAAGTTATCGCCTAGCGAGCACTCATAATCTGTGCTAGGTAGGTACTCCTCGGTGGCCGAAGATGTTGGAGCCTCCAATTTAGGAGGGCCGTGGTAGAGACGTGATTTCACCGCTTGGCGGTCTCCACCTACGAGCAACGGACCGTTGAAGCGATCGGCCCGGTCCTCACGGACTTGGTGAATCGCGACGTCGGCCGAAGGGAGCCATCTGAAGGGATTGCCATCACTTCAGTGGCTACGACGAGGACACGGTGTCGGCATCGTAACTGGTCCTATTTGCGCGACGGAATATGAAGCTGCCCCAGCCACATAAAAATCCAACCTTGATTCAGGTGATATAACTTTCGCAAAGGAACCGTTCGCCAAACTAAAATCACAAAGTACGATCTCCTAACAAAATTATTCATTACACTTCTTCATGTGGTGCTTAAGCACATCTTTGTACCTGAGGAGTTATCCGCTACGGTTACGCTTGCCTTCCTCAAGTTCAGAGAAAAAGATGCACTTTGTTGTATGGTTATCTGATATCCGCGATACGTGTCCACACCAACGGAGTTGCCGTCACATGATATATATTTTAATCTCCATGATATTAGCTCCCCGTAGCACTTCTGTATTCCGAATACGATCATACCAGCTGATGGTGAGTATTGCACAAAAAAGCGGTCAGTTGCGCAGGGTATATTAAGGTGTATATCCTACGCGCGAGACATAAGTGCACTTATGTTTGTCCTTCTCGATCCACTGGAACGGAGACGGTTACAGCTGTGGAAAGACTCGGACAGATGGATATATTATGGAAAAAACTAACAGGGAGTTAGTACTTTTTCATACTCCCTTAATCACCCACGGGCAGATATGCGGTGGTGCTACTCTAGTCCGCCGACGCCACACGGCAAATATTTGATAAATCAAATCAAGAACTCATCATTTATTAATTTTAAGTCGCCCCGTTGATCTACTGGTTATTAACATTGGTTACAGTAGATACCATAAAATCGAATTGTTAAGGAAACAATAATCTTTCTCTCTCTTTTCTTTTCTGCGTTTAATGTGGTACATTTATACGTTATACCTACTGTACTGTACTGGTAGGAGTAAGAGTTTGAAGTCGTCGTGGCCTAAAGGATAAAGACGTCCGGTGCATTCGTGTTGAGCGATGCACAGGTGTTCGAATTCCAGGCGGGTACCAGTTTTGCTAATGAAATACGTAGTCAACAAATGTTCACGATTGACTTCCACGGTGAAGGAATAACATCGTGTAATAAAAATTGAACCCGCAAAATTATAATTTGCGTAGTTACTGGTGGTAAGACCTCTTGTGAGTCCGCGCGGGTAGGTACCACCGCCCTGCCTATTTCTGCCTTGAAGCAGTAATGCGTTTCGGTTTGAAGGGCGGGGCAGCTGTTGTAACTATACTGAGACCTTAGAACTGATATCTCAAGGTGGGTGACGTATTGACGTCGTAGATGTCTATAGGCTCCAGTAACCACTAAACACCAGGTGGGCTGTGAGCTCGTCCACCCATCTAAGCAATAAAAAAGTAACGCCATCTATTGTCAAATAGCGGAAACACCGAATGTACTCGACTTGTGAGGAATGTTCTCGACGATTCTAGGGATGTCGTATCGACAATAAAAGCGTTGCAGAGATGGCACGCAGTCAGTCAGTAATCGGAACTACTCGAAGCGAAACAGCAAACGGATCACCTGAAGCGAAGCGGAAGAACTGAATTGAGAATTTTAAAGTGTTTGTGAAGTGTTTTAAGTGTTCTAAGTGCTAATACAGTGTTAACTTGTAATTGGGTAGAATTTTATTTATCCCGAACCCCAATGCGTAACAATATTATATTTCTTAAAAACTAAAGTAAGCCGTCGACGTCCCCAATTTTCAGTACAGCGCGGATCCCGCACATAAGCGATGTTTTGTTCTGTTATAACATAAAAAAAAAAGTTGCTACATACTGGTTGTGCTGTGAAGTGTGGAGCTATGATAGCAACGATGAGAATGGCGACTAGTGCGAAGTTCCGGAAAGCCATTCTGATTTTTTCGCAAGCTCCGCTGCTACGCCTATGTGAAAATATTACTTGGATAAACATTGTGAAAAAAATCGCTACGTTGTTTTGTACTCTTAACTGTGACAAGGTCAGATATATAGTAGTTATTTTACATTTCACAACTATCCGATTAACATAACGTACGTCAAGTGTTTTCATCGCAATTTTTAAAGAACTCTTCAATGAACAACGCCGGGAACCTACAGGAATCATGGCATAAAACAAAAACAGTACCTATATATCTGCCGCTTGTGATTTCTGATACTATAGCGTTTTATACGTCATGCAAAAATCTTATTTTACGACTACTGTAGTATTTCTTCTATTATTTATACTTCCAGCACTGGACATATTCAACCGTACTTATAAATAAGTTAAAACACGGGGTCCAAAGTCTCACCAGGAAACAGGAGGCGGCATCCTGTCTTTACTATAGATTCACTGATCATGAATACCATGGCCATACAAAAGATCTAGCTACAAAATATTGTTGTAATTGTTAATGTAGAAGATGCGTCTATTCACAATTAATTGATGTTCTCTATGTTTTAGCAAAGATTTTTAGACTTATTTTACCTAATAAAATAATATTGTGATGTTTTTTGATATTACGAGTACCTTCTTAATAATAATTAACCACCTTAACAAATGCCTATATAGTAATAACTAATGAATACATAGTACTTTTATATTATCTGAGAAAAAAATCCTGTAACATTTTACGGTCAAAATTGTAACGAATGATAGGTACATTGCTACACAGTGCAGTAAGAATAGTCTCGGTTAGCAGGTAAAAATAGCATCAAAGAGAAAGATTAGGTTAAAAAAGCCTAAATATAGGCTAAATAAGCTCTCATCGACAAATAAGATTTAAGATCAGTTTTCATAAATACCGTTTTGAAGCTTTTGACTACAGCATGTGTTCATAGTCATACTAGTCGTCAGATGGTCGTTACATCAGACGTTTTTCCTCTTTGACAATAGAAGCTTTAATTCTCTTCACACTTCAGACTTTAAAATATCGTATGATTAAGGATATAGAGCAAAAAAAAAGAATACCATTCGAGTTATGTTGAAGAACCAGTTACCTAATTAATAATTCAATTCAAGTTCCTAAAAATGACGATAACGATTACATTGCTTATGCATTACAGGTGTCCACATAATTCAATTATGTACTCTGGTTCAAAAGATATTTACTTGTTTCAACCACTTTTAATCCAAAATCTTAAATCTTTAAAAAAAGTATTTTGATGATTAATTTTTGGTCTAACAGGTTATATTAAATTTTGTTAAGGAACTATTTATATAGAAAATGAAAAATGCTAAGTAAGCTGGTTAAATCTCCACCTTGTTCTTAAAAGTATAATTTATTTTGTAATACATACTGGGCTCCTTGTTTTTATTATTTTTTTATTTAATTTTTGTTTTACTTTATTAGCGCTCCAATATATTTCGATGGCAAAAAACAATTTAATTTTCTAAACATGCAATATAGGTAATTTATACAATTCACTTCATTACATAGATTTACTAGGTTTACCTAAAGCACAAACCCAGCTTGAATAACAGCACTAGGAGGTGCGCTGACGCACCGGCTTCACACGCAAAGCAATCGGAGGCACTGGCAGTATATTGATCCGTCAGCGTTAAAACCCACACCGCTTACTACCACAGCACTAACGAGGCCAAGGCCGCACAAAGTAGGTATTCGTTATGTCAGATTGCGTTCTACTTATGCAATGCGCCGCAGTGCAGTTCGATGGCCCGTCAATTCTAGTTTGTAAAACTTAGCGCAATATTTTAATTTTAAAGTTTATTTGTTTAATTTGTAATAGTTCATGCTTTTCTTAAGTAGCTAGGTGAAAAATCTCAGGGCTTACTTATTGTAAAACCCATCAACCCAACCATGAGACGGCTTCTTTTTTTTTTTTCTTTTTTTTTATTGCCTTTGTAGGCAGACGTTCGTACGGCCCACCTGATGGTAATTGGTTACCGTCGCCCATGGACTTCAGCAATGCCAGGAGCAGAGCCAAGCCGCTGCCTACTGCTTAATACTCTCCACAAGCCTCGTTTGAAGAATGATATGTCATAGCGCTCGGGAAACACTGATATAGTCATGCATAGCACCACAATCCTGTTATTTTTTACCGCGAAAGATATTTGTATGCCTTGAAATGTAGCTGACACCTTATGTTCCTGGATCGTCCGAAAAAAAATTCCCTACCTATGATGATGATACCTGATTACTGGTGGTAGGACGTCTACCACCCTATTTCTGCCGTGAAGCAGTTAAAGTAGAAGAAAACGCAGTAGTGCGTTTCAGTTTGAAGGGTTAGGCAGCCGTTGTAACTATACTGAGATCTTGGAACTCGTATCTCAAGTTGGGTGGCGGCATTTACGTTGTGGATGTCTATGGCCTCCGGTAGCCACTTAACACCAGGTGGGCTGTGAGCTCGTCCACATATCTATGCAATAAATTAAAAAAAATGCCTTCAGAGGCTATATCAGCGTTACCCTAGCGTGTAGGTGAGCTCCCGGGGCTCAAACCGGAGGTGTTGCTAACACCAGCCCTAGCAAGAGCAGTGCTTCGCAGCATTTACCACTGGATCGAAAACGCGACCCTGAGAAGATCCGGCGAGAAACTCAGTGGGCTGTGTCTGTGTCAGATCGTCGGTGGAAATTACATTATTGTTCACGTCTTCTATAGGTTCCACCAACCATTTAAATTCAGGTAAGCTCATAGATGTTTGGCTCTACAACCCTTTTTGAGCTATGGGCAAGTCGTGATTCGTGACCGTTAATTAGTATGGATGTTGTGACGCACATAAAGTAATTAAAAATTCATATTCAATACAAATGCGTAGTCTTCCATAGTAAAAACAAGGGAAAATACGCATTCATGAATTATTTGGAATGTTGCGTATATGAATTTATCGGAATTTTTATATTCTTAAGCTGGTATTATTCCAAAACTTAGAAGAGGATACCACTTCGAAAAGAAAAATCTCAAACTACTGAAAATCGCAAACATTTTACAAATTTAGATCACTGCAAACAAAATGAAAATTGTCATTTTGAATAAGGTTGTGGCGGTATTTTTGTTAAATCAATATCAATCTAATTAAAAGTGTCATTTGAAATCGTAGTGACTAGTGATACAGCGTACGCGCAAGATAAAGCCGCTCAAAAATAAAGTTTCAAAGTTTATGTGAATTTAGACCCGCGTTTTGGGTTCTCTAGAATGTTTCCGGTCAAAACCAAGATCAAGAATATTTAAAGCGATTATGATTTCTAGTCAAAAGTCTATTTGGTTGAAACTTAAAATTTCTTTTTCGTAAATTTACGGTGTCTATGGTGTAACTACCTCGGTCATTGGCATATTATTGAAACTTCAAATTAATTAGAATAAGCCTTTAGATTACACGTTAAAAAATGGCCCTAATCTATGACGTGAAGTCGGGAGGCCAAACACAAGACTAATTGAAGTCGTCGTGGCCTAACGGATAAGACGTCCGGTGCATTCGTGTTGAGCGATGCGCCGGTGTTCGAATCTCAGGCGGGTACCAATTTTTCTAATGAAATACGTACTCAATAAATGTTCACGATTGACTTCCACGGTGAAGGAATAACATCGTGTAATAAAAATGAAACCCGCAAAATTATAATTTGCGTAATTACTGGTGGTAGGACCTCTTGTGAGTCCGCGCGGGTGGGTACCACCACCCTGCCTATTTCTGCCGTGAAGCAGTAATGCGTTTCGGTTTGAAGGGTGGGACAGCCGTTGCAACTATACTTGAGACCTTAAAACTTATATCTCAAGGTGGGTGGCGCATTTACGTCGTAAATGTCTATGGGCTCCAGTAACCACTTAACACCAAGTGGGCTGTGAGCTCGTCCACTCATCTAGCAATAAAAAAAATTAATAATAATTACAATCGAGGGCACACTAAAGCAGTATTAGAGACTGCCCTGTACGGCCATCTAGTTTGTGTATTATCTATGCCGGCCATAAAATAATGCACGAAAACCACCTCCACCGCTGAACTAGAAGTAATTCTTATACCGGTCACTCGCATTCGCACGAATACGCAAACCCACAAGTGTAGGACGACATTTGCAAATGATTATGCAAAGTTTTCGCTGCATTCGTGGTTTTCCAAGCTGTGTCGGTTTTTTAACGGACATCAAAGCGCGCGAACCGCGATGCTTCGCGTAGTCTCCCACACATTCGTGTGACCAGTTGCATAGATTATACACTTACCAGTTGCGCCCAGGATTGCGAAGGCAACGGACGTTTCGCTATTTTCATAGATCGTGATGTCTACTGTGTAGCGTATCTTCATCATGAATTGGAACAACACCAAGGTGATGGAGTTCATTGAACTCCTGCAAAATGAATCGACCATATGAGACCCTCAAAAGAAATCCCATAAAAACAGAATGGCCGTTAATGACGCCTGGGAAAGAATTAAAAACTCTTTTTCTCTTCGATGTTCTATTGACGAATTAAAAAAGAAGAGAAATTCGTGAGACATTCGTAAACAAATGTAGGAGGAAGCGCAAACGGGTTCGCAAATTGAATACCGAACCCATTTGCACAGCCGCTAAGTTTGCGAATGAATGTCTGACAGCCCTTCACATGCGCGCGAACATTCGTACAATGTAGGAATGTTTGCGCGCATGTGAGTGGCCGGCATTACCACAAGTTATTAATACAATACACTGTAACCGAACAATATTAGCACTTAAATGCCTATGACGCTTAACAGTTAAATTTAATATTTTTTATGACTGAGAACCAAGTATTTATTTGTATTAAACGAGAGCAGTAGATAAAACTCATTCCGTCTCAACTTGCCAGCCTTTTGTCTGCACAGCACTGTCAACTGGGAAATCGTCGGGTATTTACTGGTGGCAGGACCTCTTGTGAGTCCGCACGACGAGTAGGTATCACCACCTATTTCTGCCGTGAAGCAGTAATGCGTTTCGGCTTGAAGGGTGGGGTAGCCGTTGTAACTATACTGAGATCTTAGAACTTATATCTCAAGGTGTGTGGCGCATTTACGTTGTAGATGTCTATGGGTTCGATGTCTCGGCCACACATCTAGGCAATAAAAAAAATGGAAACGAACTGCTGACAAACACACTGCCCGGTCTGGTTCCTGTATTTTTTGATTATAATAGTTATAAAATGTATGTCTGTATGTATAAAATGTATCTCTTTCATCTATTTAATTTCAATTGATATTAGGCAATTATCCACCAATTATCAATTCAGAATTCGATGTAAATACTATCACTACCAAATCAGAGGTTTTGATTAAATAATTTTGATTTTGATGAATATTGATGCGATTGGATTTATATGTTTTTCTTTTACCCGATGTTGTGGTAATTTAAATGAAACTAGGGAAAAATCAGAATAAAAGATATTTATTTATTTACGTAGGTATTCATTAATTATAAATAAGTTATTTCTTATTATAATAAATCGAGCTTACGTATCGACGCATTGGTATTCTAATAAACATACAGAACAAAATATTCTAAGATGAAACTAATTCCATTTTTCGATATTTCTTCCTGAGGGTAGACACGGGATCTTTGAAAAGTATGGGGTCGAGACGTAGTACCGATCGAAGCAGTGGCATATAACCCCAAGTTGTAGCAAATGTGTTCAAGCATGATTGTCGTTGAACAAAATGTTCAGGATCACTCCACAGCGACCTGAAAATAATATATGTTTTTTTTTTCGTTTGAGACAAGAAACTTCTTCCCGACTTTGAATTTGACGTTTTGAAACTTTTCAATTTTCAATTTCAGAAAAAGTTCACTGGTGACTAAAAGACTCTTGGTACTAACCAGTTTGGACTTACACTTACCCGTACTAAAGATAAAAAATTCTTATGGAACATCTTATGATAAAGAAAATTGGATATGTTTGAATGAAAATATTAATATTACTGATGAATGATGGGGAGACAGTAGTGGCTGTAGGGGCCCGAGGAGGCTGAAGACGAATACTCGGATCTTCTCGTTGTTCCAAATTATTTGTAAAACAGCAATTATTCCAATGCAATTCATATTCGAGCTCTTTTATCAATGCCGGCATTGTTATTCACATTATCGTTCATGTATGGTACCATACATGAAAGTACATTACTCAAGAATTTTTTGGACGCATCAGATGATTGGTCGAATATTTCACAGAGACGTTAAACAAAGTGAAAGGGATGGTGAAGCTTACTTGTGATGGAGGGGCGGCTTGTAGCGGCGGCGCTGAGCCAGTTTGAGCGGCGGGCGGCGCGTGGTGTGCGCCACGAGACAGTTGAGCAGGATGTCCTCACAGTTGTGCGCGCGCTGCACGGCCTGCCGCAGCGCCGGCCCGCTCGCCGCGTACAACGCCAGCGTGGCGCGGTGCACTAGTGCCGCACCCGGCAGCACCATGGAGTACAGGCTGCCCCACCGACTGCTGTAACCCCATGACCCCTGAAACATTCCGAAACCTGTAATGTTGTCTCTTCGCTTCAAATTTGTATATCACTACATAGCATAAAACAAAGTCGCTTTCTCTGTCCCTATATCTACATGTATGCTAAGCCTTTAAAACTACGCAACGGATTTTGATGCAGTTTTTTTTTATAGATAGAGTGATTGAAGAGGAAGGTTTATATGTATAATAACATCCATTAAATAGTGGAGAAATCAATAATAAATTATAGTTTCCGAAGCGAAGTGAGGGCAGGTCGCTAGTTTATATATATATTATTTTTTTTATTCGTTCGTTCACATTACATAAGTAAGTGATATTAATTACTTTATTTACCTTTGATTCGTCCCAAAAGTGAGTTCTAGCTGGATACCCAACAATACGTTCGGGGAATTGTTGCCATACGCGAAAAGCAAAATCCAATTCTTCAGCCAGAAGTGGAGCGTCGCCGTCTAATGAAAACACAGCTGCGGTCGGAACAGCCCACAATGGCTGCCATCGTGCAGAAACACCTTCACTAGATCAAAAACAAATTTTCAAAATTACTCCCTGATGAAACCCTTCATATATTCGAAAGGATTGAAATTTTTTTTCCCGTGTCGGATTCAAGGATTTGCTCTAAGTTTTTAAAGTGTTATATACAAACCCGATATGGAGAATATTTTTTACTAAGCATTTATTTTTCTTGTTTTTGCCTTTGCCTTCGATCAAAAGTAACACTAAATACTAGTAATAGGGCAAATGGCGCAAACTATTAAAACTTTAAAATTCTTTACCTATGAAATTACCGTTTAATATACAGAAACTTTGAGATTTTTTTTAAAGAATTCTTTATTTTTAACAAAATGTACGGTATCGATGCATTGATCATTTTTCAATTCCCTTCTTGAACTACTATTTTGGCCTTTTATACTTTAATATCTTTCGGGTATTGTACTTTTTGCTTGTCATGAAGTTCCAAATTTTGGAAAAGTGAAGTTTGTCGGCGCAAGGTCTGTTGAGTATAGTGGATGACGCAAAACCTTCTACTCTTGTAGCTTAGAGACGGTCTGCTGTGCCATATAAGGTCAAGGGTTGTCGTGTAGGAGAAACAGGGACAGTATTATAAAATGGCAACTTCGTAGGTCAAGACCTATTATTTGTGATTGTAGTAATTGGAATTAGTACGATCCAACCACAATTAACACAGGGTCCAAAATTGGAACACGAATAGTTCTATTATCAGTTCCGTTTGACAATCCTTTGATAGACCTCTTGACTCCTGACCTGGTGAGGAGGGTATTTCGACTAGAGATACACTAAAGCCAGAGGGCTGTTTGATGGACTGAAATGATTCAATTTGATCCGTCTGATTGGAATGTAGTAGTTGAACAAACTTTTATGCGTCAGTTTTTGCTTGAAAAATAATGGTGTGTGCATTTAACGTAACCTATTTCAAGTATGCTTTAAAAATAGTTAAACTAGTTTGTTAGGTATGGCCGTAGTTCCTGTATGTTTTATGAGATATTTCTCTCGAAATGATTTTTTAGCCCACAACGTGCCTTTTTATTCTTGTATGTATAATAATGCAAAGATGACAAAAAACTGCAGAAGTAACAAAAACCGAAACAAAAAAGTTGATTCAATAAAATTATGCATGGGATAAATGTCGAATAACGATTTATTCAATGACTATAATATAACCAATAATCACGTACTAAAACCAAGCTATTTAAAAGACTGAGTCAATAAGGCCATTCTATCAATTTTGCTAATTTATTATTGGTTAAATTGATTGAGTTTATGTCATGATATCTACAGACCCCAGGTTAGCTGTGAACTCGTCATATCATCTAAAGCAATAAAAATGTATTAAACTTACCCAGGGTAGTGAGTGGTAGCGTCGACAACTATTACTGGGAGTGGATCCCGGCTGTCTCCAGCCATACGTGACAAAGACTTCAGAGAAGGCGCAGCCCGTTCACTGTCCCATACTAGAACTACCTAGTATTATAAAATATAGCGATTTTATGCATACCCATAGTGGACTAAGAATTTATAACATTGATGAACAGCGCGTCTTTATTGGCATTAAAAAAAAAACAATATTTTTGTTTTAAGTTTTGTTGTGCTGTGAAAGCTTAACACTCTCACCGCCATACGGTCCGCCGGCGGGTCATATATTTTCGAGTTAGACACGCCACCAATATGTTGCAGTAAACGAGATTAGCAGGCCGTACGGGTCGCCGGCGCACCCTATGTTTCGCGCCAAAATATAACAAAATTTCACCACGGCCTGCACGGCTAGGTATAGTTGCGACCGCCGGCGGACCGCACGGCCTGCCGCACCGACAAATTCTATATATAGGTGGCGGTGAGAGTGTTAAATATGTTTGATATTCTAATTAACCCGGCTCCTAATTCATATCCTGATTACTGGTCGTGGCATCCGTTACAAGTCCATCTGCCGATTCATAGTGTTAGTAGCTGATATTATCGGTACGCAAATGCTTGGCCTTGGCATAGTTGAAGTCTTTTTTTTTTTTTTTTTTTTTTTTCCTACCTAAGCTGATAGCCCTAGCGGCTATTTCAGCGTAACCCTAACTTTAGTAGGTGAGCTCACGGGGCTCAAACCTGACGATGTTGCTAACACGAACCCTAGCAAGAGTCGTGCTTCGCAGAATCTACCACCGGATCGGAAACGCGACCCACTGAGAAGATCCGGCGAGAAACTCAGTGGGCTGTGTCTGAGAGTTAATTTACTCGTCGAGCCCTTCGTCGCAAGCGACGGGTTCGACGAGAACGGTGACCGGTGCTTGAAGTACCTAAAAGCACCGTTAGTGGATCGGGAGGATCCAAGATGACGTGTTTTGGGCGACGTCGACTGCTTTCCATTCTGTCCGCAGGATCGGGAATGTAGTTACCGGCGGCCACGATGAGAGGGTTCTCGTGTCGTGCCGCTTTATCGAAGTGGAGAGTTGAAGTCAATGAGCGAATCAAAGTACTAGAGATCATTTGGGCCGTACCAGAATTCAACCTCACGTCTCAAGGCGGACGGCGACACTCACATCGTGGTGTTCATGAGCTGGGCAAGGCGATGAACGCTCGTGAACTTTAACGTTATCTAAGATAAATACGTAACATTTTTATAAAATAACTAGCCGTACCCGTCCGCTTCGCTGGGCATTTAAAATTAACATTATTATTTCTCACCCCAACAAAGATTCTCATCATTAACGCCCTTGCAACTGGTGTAGGGAGTCTAACACTTATATAAATATTAGCATATCCATTAAGTACATGTATTTTCTACATGGATACCAAGTTTCAAGACAATCGGATGCATGATTCAGTAGTTATAACGGAACAACCGTAAAAACCACCGTAGATTTATATATTAGTATAGATTAGATATAAGGGATTATACTTACTTTCCCGCAAAACTCGCTACTGGCAATATTAGCAAGGAGTTTGTGTAAAGCTGGTGATGTTGCTTGAACATATAACAGTGCAGTAAAAGAATTACCAGGAGTGTGAGGAGGTGCCATCTGAGGTATTGATGGAACAGGAAGAGGGGCGAGGCTGGTAAAAGGAGCCGAGGGCGCTTCTAATACAGGTGATGGAATAGGGTAATGTGATCTAGAATCGCCATAGGCAGCCAGTGTTCCGAGGGCTCCTGGTGAAGCATTCCAAATTAGAAGATCTCGTTGCTTTGAAACTCGATGAGCGAGAACACGTTCCAGTAAAATCTATAAATATATAATACATTTTTGAACTTATCAAATCGTTATGAGATTGAAATTTTCAAAATGCGTGAACCTTTAAATACCTCAATAGTTGTGAAGACGATTTTTTCAATTGATGAAAAATATTGCTCCCATAAAAACTGAGTTTGCTGTCTCAATGCAAGGATTCGTTCCGGTGGTACTGAACGTACAAGCTCTGGAACCTGTTATTTTAAATTTTTGATTTATTAAAATTTGAGTTATTGACGCCGTAAAAAGTATTATACACATACCTATTTATATTTTATTATTAATTATTACTATCTGTGGCACCGGATTCCATGGACATCACAACATGAATATTGTCACCTTCATTGGGGCATGAGGACAGACTTAACTGTATTGTAAGATAATGACAATATTTTGTGGCTATAGCAGGCTCATCCTAATGACAATGTCATTGGGTCAAAATGACCTGAGAAGTTTTTGTTACCTTACAGATGCCATACCTCTCAATAGCTGNATTATTACTATCTGTGGCACCGGATTCCATGGACATCACAACATGAATATTGTCACCTTCATTGGGGCATGAGGACAGACTTAACTGTATTGTAAGATAATGACAATATTTTGTGGCTATAGCAGGCTCATCCTAATGACAATGTCATTGGGTCAAAATGACCTGAGAAGTTTTTGTTACCTTACAGATGCCATACCTCTCAATAGCTGGAATTTATGACTTTCACTAAGCATTGTTTAGAAATATTCAGTTGTGCTGCGACCATGCTTGGAGCTAACTGTGACCAATGTTAAAAAAGGTAAATATGACTCATCCCCATACTAGGTGTAACAATTTTGCAACATTGTTTCCAAATATGGATTTTATGTTTTTTCATTGCTTTAAGTGTTGTTGCTCTACATTTTATGTTTGATTTATCGTTTCTTACTAATCTATTATCTTTTTATGGGTAGATCGAAAAAATGGACCGAGACGAAGGAGAACGAGAACGTATTTTATACATTTTTAAAGAATATGACTCGGATGTCATGTCATCTGATCAGGAGTCCGCTGATGTCAAGTCTGCACCATGACAACAGTGTTGATGATTCAACTGAAGAAAAGCAAAAGTTGGAAATCAATACGTATTACAACTCAACAAAATGTGGAGTGGATGTGGCTGATGAGTTGTACGCTACATAATATGACGTGTGTCGCAATTCAAAAAACTGATCTTTCAGTTTTCTACGCCGTTTCGAACATGTTTGCTGTCAACGGATATCGAATTTTTTATAATATATCATTTATTATAATATATCGAATCAATAATGAGTCGAAAAAAAATAAAAGCGATGACATTATCTGAAGAAACTAGGCTTTGCCCTTGTGAGTGATCATTTGAAAGTCCGCCAGAATGTGACACGTTGGGCTCGAGAAATGCGAAAAAAATAGGACCATTTGCTAGCGAAGATTAGGAGGAGCCTCCAGTTTCCAGACCCAATAGTCAAAGTATGTCCTGCGAAGAAAAACCGCAAAACAACCCACACATGTTATGGTTGCAACAAATTTATCTGACTTGAACATGTCGTACCTTTCGGCACCTAACCCATGCATCAGCTCGCTGAGTTTCTCGCCGGATCTTCTCAGCGGGTAGCGATTCCGATCCGGTAGTAGATTCATTCGCGAAGCAATTGCTTTTGAGTTGATAGGTCTCCTTCGGAGGCACTCGGGCGGTTGTTAGCAAATCCCACACCTCTTGGCTGAGCATTTGCTCGTCCACCTGTTCTGGTGAAACTGGAAAGGCCTTCGGGCCACCAGTAATCTTTCAATCATAAAAAAAAACCTTTCGGCAGTGTTTGCACTCACAACGGTTCTGATTAGTTTTAAGTAAGTTTTATCTGAATATATCGTAGTTTAGTTTATAAAAAGTGCTATAAATAATTAAAGACTGTTAATTAATGCGAAGACATTCATGTGAGATTAGGCTAAGGAACACAAATTTTGTTGATTTTTACGTGTTTATGTTTTGGAAGGTTTAAAGATTTAATTACAATATTCTGCAATACAAATTATTGATTTATTTGCCAAACCACAAGACAATAAAGTAATTACCATAAAATAATAAATAATTATTGGAACATCTTAAGTCAAAATATCGGGTAGTTATGACCCACCCCCAAGTCCGTGTAGTCGTTTTTCACCCCTATGACGCCGGGTTAAGGAAATCCTGCATTTAAGTTATTGAACAAAATCTATCACCCACTTTACCCATGAATAAGATGATTAATTTCTATTTATGATTCAATCATTATCAATTTTTGGCTAAAATGACTGTGTATTTACCTGTAATAATAAGCGTTCGTCTGCCCAAATAACTGCACGCCTCCAATCTATTTTTTCATCAAAAGGTAATCTCCATCCATTACTTAGCAAAACTGGTATACATCCAGCTGCTAAGGCTTCAAGAAATCTGTAGGATCCTAATCGTCTTCCTCGTGCAACAATGCAAAAAGTTGAGTTAGCTAACAACTGCTCATAATCAAACCTGCAACATTTTATTTCTATTAAATTTCATGCACCAATAGTATCACATTTTTGGTGTTATTATAATTATGATCATTATTATGATTATGACAATTGTTTGTGTACACAGGCCTCGACCACCTTAGATAGGAAGGGAAGAATAGATATGGGCCTAAAGTGATTTGGAAGGGAAGGGTTAGGAATTTTAGATAAAGGAATAACATAGGCCTTACGCTACAATGACGGAAAAGAGCCTGAAGATAGGGAGAAATTTGTGATGTGCCATATAGCTGGCAGAAGATGATCCAGGATTGTGACGATCATACGGCGACTTATATTTTCACAACCCACGGCGTTCGATTTTATGGACAGGATAATATTTTTGATCTCATCTACAGCAAACGAAGAAAATTGTGTGAAAATGTTCAGTGAAGACAAACCATTCCGATTATTCAAGGTTCTTTCAAGGTCATTTCGTTTGATTATTGTGGTGTAGTAGAAGAGAAATGAAAGTTGATGTCATTCAAACTTATCAGAAAATCAGAGTAAGGCTGTATACCAATACCCAGAGTTCCAAGGCATTTCCAAATATTAGCAGATGAAGCGGAATTCATGTTTTCTAGAACGGGGCGTCGTTTAACGTTACGTATCATCTGATTGCACCGAATCCTCGACACCTTAAATTTAGTCCAGCTATCATCACACCGATTCCTCCTGAATTTTCGGAAAGCCCGATCCTGGCGCCTCATAGCCATCCGAATACTTTCAGTCATCCAAAGAGCTGGAGCGCGCTTCAATTAAATTTTTCTGATAGGCGCATGAGTGTTGTAAAGCCCAAGGACGACTTCATTGAATATGTGAACCTTGTGAAATTTACTATCTGGTTTAGAATGAGCTTCCCTACACAGTGTTTCCTGATCTCTATGACATGATTTTTGTCCCCTAAATGGTAAAGTGCTCTATTGAAATATGATTTGCCAAGAGTCCTCTATGGCCCTGGCCTTGCTGATGTCCTTGGGCAACAGTGACTGTTCACTACCAGGTGAGCGATAATGGTAGTAATTAAGAAACAGTACATTGTAAAATGGCAAACACGCGGGATGAGATGTCCTACTTTTTTCCCGCGGTTCACATACTATTTCTTCTCTTACCAGGCCGAAAGTTCGTGGAGAATCAGGCCGGGGTCTAGGGGCGAAGCCCTGGCAGGGGGTAGGGGGGCGAAGCTCTGGCAGGGGGTAGGACCCATACTCATAAAAAAACAATTTAACTGTTATTTAATTTTTAAATAAACTGCTACTAATTGAATAAAAGCTGTCTGATGAACTCATCTTTGTTTAATACTTCAATATTAAATTTTATTGCATTTTGTATATTTCACTTTTACACTAAACACAATATTGCAAATTACCCGAGCACAACAATGGCAGAGAATTTTAGGAGCGTGAGAGCAGACGTAAACACTAATGCACATGCGCACTTGTACCCATGGAGGAAAAGTTAGACTTTCTTCCCTGTACAGCGGGAGGAAAACCGAACTTTTTTTTTTTATTGCTAGATGAGTGGACGAGCTCACAGCCTACCTGGTGTTAAGTGGTTACTGGAGCCCATAGACATTTACGACGTAAATGCGCCACCCACCTTGAGATATAAGTTCTAAGGTCTCAAGTATAGTTACAACGGCTGTCCCACCCTTCAAACCGAAACGCATTACTGCTTCACGGCAGAAATAGGCAGGGTGGTGGTACCCACCCGCGCGGACTCACAAGAGGTCCTACCACCAGTAATTACGCAAATTATAATTGTGCTGGTTTCATTTTTATTACACGATGTTATTCCTTCACCGTGGAAGTCAATCGTGAACATTTGTTGAGTACGTATTTCATTAGAAAAATTGGTACTCGCCTGAGATTCGAACACCGGCGCATCGCTCAACACAAATGCATCGGACGTCTTATCCGTTAGGCCACGACGACTTCTTTCAGCGTAGGTAGGAGAAAAAACAGTTTTCATTCACCATTTTCTATTCATACTGTAATTTTTTCCACTTTAAAATAATGTTAAGTACTTTAATTATGATAGACAACTTGGTGCTTTTTTTTTTTTTTTTTTCAGGGCCGAGGGCCGAACCTCCTACGAAGTCCCCGCGCCTAGGGGGCGCGCGAGGTATGTGAGACTCAACGATCTGCAGGTGTTGAGAGCAGACCGCGGGCCCAAGGAATTTAGGGCCCACCCACTAAACGACTCCCCTGCACTCTTACACCCGGCGTCCGATCTCCGTCCGGGGTCAAAACCCGGTCAGAGTAGGGGGGTTCCCGCGGTCAACACTACAACCAGACACGCGGCGCCACCCCGAGGACGCCCGACCGACGGGTCGTCGAGGCGATAGTCGACGACCAACGACGTCGGTCTCCGCGGTACGGCGGCCCTACCAGGCCGCCCGGGCGGTGCCGCTGGTGTTCCGGGATACCCCGCTGGGCCAGAACCAGCCTGCCGGGTCGGAACGCGATACACCGCCGACCGGGTTGCTCTTCAACAGTATGTTCGGCGACGACAGCGACGACGAAAATGCGGACCGCATCGCAGTCCGCAGCCGCCGACGCGCCGTCCCGTCCTCCTGGTGCCAGCGCGCTAGAGTGACGGTAGCGTGCGGCGCAGCCTCAACCCCCTTAGGTCGCCCCGTGACCATCACCGGGAGGAGACTGCCTCCTCATAGGGGCTGGAGCTGGACAAACGCCCTCCTCCGACCCCCGGCCCGACGGCGGCGGCACGGCGCCGAGAGGGAAGAAGAGCTCTCCCTCTCCCGTTCCGCCACCTCCTTCTGCGAGATGGTGGACTCGCAGAAGTCGAGCATCGCCTGCCAGGACTCGTCGCTGCCGAGCATCGTAGCCACGACGGTCGGAAGCGACAAGTCCGGTCCTATTTTTGCAACGAGGACGCGGCGCTGCTCCGCGAAAGCGGGGCAGTACGCGAGCGTGTGCTCCGCCGTGTCCTCGTTGCAGCCACTGCAGTGGTGGCACTTCGGCGTCGGCTCCCTCCGGGCGACGAGGTGCAGGTAGCGACCGAAACAGCCGTGTCCCGTGAGCACCTGCGTCGCTCGGAAGGTGAGACGTCCTCGGTCGCGATTCACCCAGTCCGAGAGGACCGGGCGGATCGCCTCGACGGTCCGTCGCCCGTAGGCGGGGTCCGCCAGGCGGCGAGACCACGCCTCGAGCACGGCACGCCGAGATTGAAGCTTCCGCGCTCGAACTTCCGCCGCGCCGGGACGCGGCTCCCCCCTGGAGCGGAGATCACATCGCCACGCGTAATCCGCAGCAAGCGCCTCCGCTTCCAGGTCCCAGGGAGGCGTCCCGGCGAGACAACTTGGTGCTGCCTTGACTTTGTGTTGTGTTTTGGTTGAGTTTATGTATTTAGAGTAAAAAAAATCATTCCCTTAAAATAATAAAGTCATTTCAAATTATATTAGTCTAGAAATTAGATACCTAGACAGTCTAAGAAACTTGCAATACTTTGATCAATTTTAGATTTTGTTTAAAGAATTCTTGAGACAAATCATATTTTTCTACAAATTATTAAAAATATGTTTTGACACATTAGTAATACGTCAGTGGTATTTTAACTTATAAATGTAAATTGTTCAAAATAATTATAAATATAATATACTAAAATGTTAATTTACTAAAATAATACTAGAATCATCAATCACCTTCGTGATTTTACAAATTCATGTTCAGTATTTATATTCTTCTGCCTATTTCGGCCATAAATGAATCATGTTCCAGTTTGAAGGTTTGATAGTAGTTATTTGAGAATTAAGTCTGTTAATAATATCATATCTATACTTCAAATAATTCTAAATGCACATAACATTTTAACAACACTAGCTACTAACAGACTAAAAAACCTTACTTGTCATATTCTTTATTGTCCTCTTCACATCTTTCATCTCTTAAATCTTTCCAAGATTTTCCATGACGGCAAGTGGTTACTAAGATCAAGTTATTTCCATCATGTAAATGCCACAAAGAATTACGGGTTTCACTACCAATACCATGTACATATCTTTTTCCTTTGAAGGCTACCAAATGCTTACGTTGAGCCGGAAATGGGTTGACAGTAGCAGCAGGTGGAACTCCTCCTTTCTCTGGATGTTCTTTATGAAATAATGGCAATGAAATGTCAAATCCCTCACGAAACATTATTTCGGAAGCACTTGCTCTGGCCAATATAGCTTCACCTGGGTCAAATCCCAAAGAATCTTCAGCATAGTCTGGCCAAGTGCCAGCATATAAATTAAATATGAGATGATTTCTACCATTTCTCCAATAAGGTAATCTCGATAGACGTGAAGCGACATCAGATACATGTTCTGATGACAAGGGGTCAGCATCCAGTGTATCAATAGCTGCCACAAATAAACATGCTTCATTTGGATCTCTAGTTACATATCTGGACTCTCTTATTACTGATAATACCTTCCTATATGAAGCACTGACAGTCCCATCACTTGGGTACACAAAAATTTTTGGATCACTTCCACATTTAGAAAAGTCGAAACATGTATCCATACGACAAGGCTGTGTTGCAGAAGCAGGATTGCGTTTTTGTCTAGATGGTTTAAGGTGCAGATCATCAAGTGTTGCAAAAGATGGCAATTCATTTAATTTCGATTTACAAGTGTCTGACTTGAAACTAGTATTTCCGTAGTAGCAATACAAAAGAAAAGCACAAGACATGAAAAGTAGTAGGTATCGTCGTTTCGCTTGCATTTCACAACCGTAGAAATAAATACCAAAATTTGTTTCACCCCAAACAAGTCTCAAACTGTTAAAAACTATTAAACGAATAAAATGAACCTGCTATAAATACCTACCTACACCTACTTAGACATTAATAATATTTAGTTAGAAGTAGGTTTTAATGGCTTTTATGACCTGGTAACTAAGACCTTTAGGTCAAGTCTTATTTTAATTTTAATGATAACTTTTTTATATGAAATATATTAATATGAAATGAAATGAGATTAAATGGGATGAAGTATAATCTCAGTAAAATGGTGGTCATTTACTGAGACTTTTTGGAAGTTCCCATGAAACTACGTTCAGCAACTTTGTTTCATTTTCCCACATTTGTGCACTTTCACAGATATTAAACGGTTAATAAACCACCGTTAATACACATTTAAGCCTGAAGAAATACTAATTAGCCAAAATAAAACAAAATCACACAACGTCACTCCTCGCGTTCCCGCCAAAAAGTCTTATATGAAGTAAAAAAATTTTAAGGGATTTTATGACCTGGTTACTAAGACCTTTAAGTCCATATAATCTTATTTTTATGAAAAATGATAATATGGAGTGAAATGAAATGAGATGAATGAAGATGATTAATTTGAGACATTAATCAACGGGATGAAATTAAATGAAATGGGATTAGATGATATGGGATGAAATGTAATCTCGGTAAAATGGTGGTCATTTACTGAGACTTTTTCAATTGACTTATTGGAGGATCCCGAGAAGTTACGTCCAGCGGCTTTGTTTCATTTTTCCACGTTTGTGCACTTTCACAGATATTAAACAGTTAACAAACTACCGTTATTACACATTTAAACTTGAAGAAACACTAAATTGACAAAATAAAAGAAATCACACAACTCCACTCCTCGCGTTCCCGCCAAAAAAAAAGTCGGTACATACTATGTATGTACCTACCATAGATTATTCACTTATTATTATATAGGTTTCATACTTCAGTGATTTTTTTTTTATTGCTTAGATGGGTGGACGAGCTCACAGTCCACCTGGTGTTAAGTGGTTACTGGAGCCCACAGACATCCACAACGTAAATGCGCCACCTTTTTTTTTTTTTTTTTTCCGGGCCGAGGGCCGAACCTCCTACGAGGTCCCCGCGCCTAGGGGGCGCGCGGGGTATGTGAGACTCAACGATCTGCAGGTGTTGAGAGCAGACCGCGGGCCCAAGGAATTTAGGGCCCACCCACTAAACGACTCCCCTACACTCTTAGACCCGGCGTCCGATCTCCGTCCGGGGTCAAAACCCGGTCAGAGTAGGGGGGTTCCCGCGGTCAACACTACAACCAGACACGCGGCGCCACCCCGAGGACGCCCGACCGACGGGTCGTCGAGGCGATAGTCGACGACCAACGACGTCAGTCTCCGCGGTACGGCGGCCCTTCAGGCCACCCGGGCGATGCCGCTGGTGTTCCGGGATACCCCGCTGGGCCAGAACCAGCCTGCCGGGTCGGAACGCGATACACCGCCGACCGGGTTGCTCTTCCACAGTATGTTCGGCGACGACAGCGACGACGAAAATGCGGACCGCATCGCAGTCCGCAGCCGCCGACGCGTCGTCCCGTCCTCCTGGTGCCAGCGCGCTAGAGTNGTGCAATTCCAAAATTCTGTTAAGGCTCTATATCTCGTCGTTTTTATGCGATAGAGGTCTAATAATTTGTTACAAATTTCGCTGTATGTAGCTATATCGAAATCAGGCGTTAAAGCTACTTTTAACTCGTGGAATATCTCTGGTGTTAGTAAATTCAGAAGCAAATCTTTCTGTAAGTCGCTGTTATTGATATCAAGAATTTTGCATTTATTTTCGAAAAAATCAATGTAATCGTCAATTCTGAATGTATCTGGGTTGTATTTATCCATATTGAAATTTTTGATTATACTTATCTTGTTATCCGTATCATGTTTTGTAAAAGAGTCGTTCGTCACGCTCTTGGCTGTTGTATTGCAAGCTGCTGGTACCAACAACTTCAAGATTTGTAAAATCTGTTCTTGCTGGTTTTGTTGTGCATGTAAAAATAATGCGAATTGTTCATCGTTCATCTTAATTTCTTTTAACTCGTCGCCAATATAATAAAACAATGTTTTCAAGACATAGCATAAAATATAATAATGATAGATGGTAAAAATGACAATGTGTTCGAAGTATATTTCAAATAATGGAATATGGAAAAGAAGGTTACAACAGAACGTAACTTCTCGGGATCCTCCAAAAAGCTCACTGAAAAAGTCTCAGTAAATGACCACCATTTTACTGAAATTATATCTCATCTATATCACCTCATCTCATTTCATTTCATTTCATTTCACTGCATATTATCATTTTTCATAAAAATAAGAACATAAATTAAAATAAGACTTGACCTAAAAGTCTTAGTTACCAGGTCATAAAATCCCATAATATGAAATGTATTATCTACCATTATCTATGGTCAATCGTGATTATTGCCCGTAGGAGGGACTTTGAGGTGTAAGTATTTTTACGCAATAAATTTATTAAAACTACGTTTAATGTGTTTAATGACCTAAAAGACTCGAAAAGAAAATAGGCAGAAAATAAATGACAAATTTGAGAGAAAATACTGTTTTGTCGCCACCCGGCGAAAGTCCAGCATCTAAGATGCCGCTACCGCCATTTTTGTTGCTCAGTAACGTGGAGCATTTAACTGCGATTTTTTGATTCAACAGACAAAAATCATAATCATTGCAAAATAATTATTAAAATTTGTTACCGAAATAAGTTTTAAGCGAAGACGAGTTTTCATTATTGTTAGTTTAAAATAGTACTTGGTTATTTTGCTGTATGTAGCGTCATCGGTTATCACCTATATTACTACCAGCTTATAAGTAAACTAAATGAAACTATGAACTCTTAAATGAGGAAAGAGCAAAAGAAAATTTAAAAATTTGGTATATCGTTCATTTTAGTTTCTTCAGAACAAATAGCATTCTTTTTTTCTAATCTAAATATTTCTTATATTTTTTGGCAAAGGGCTTGTCTCTCAGAGAAGAATAGATCGTAATACCAAACTAACCTTGCATTGACATATTATGATCAACAAATAATTAATGTAAAACGATTATGTGGCACTCATTAATTTGAAACTTTACAGTGGTGTTACCAGTTCAGATAATTTCTTGGTCATAGTACTGCTATCCGTAGATGATGCACAGTTTAACAGATGATTTGTTTCATACCATTCAAAATATTCACAGTACAGCCAGGTACCATAAATGTACAAGAAATTATTTAAATGTTGGATCTTTAAATTTTTAGATGTCGTCCCGAGGTCGTGGTTATTATGGACGAGTGAGCTACAGTGGTGGTAGAGGTAGCGGATACAGAGGTTCTTATAGAGGCAGTAGCAATCGAGGCAGTTATGAAAGCCGTGGAGGCCGTGGTGGTGGCGCAAGCTATTCATCATACAATAATGATACTCGTTATAATAGCGGTGGAAGGAGTTACAACACCAGTCGTGACAGAGTAGATGAATCTTACAAAAAAACATATCGAAATGTAAGTTTTCTTAAAAAAAACTTATTTGAATGCCAATGGGAACATTTCATAATGAATGTCTGTTTTAATAGGAAAGCTCTGTTAACTATTCAAACAGAGAGTATGGAGGTAGAGGAGGATCACCAGAAAGAAAAAGAATGAGGATGGAGGTAAATTTTAGTAAAGATTAAAATTGTAAAATTGATCACATATTTTTACTCATTTTAAAAGCCNAAGTTTTCTTAAAAAAACTTATTTGAATGCCAATGGGAACATTTCATAATGAATGTCTGTTTTAATAGGAAAGCTCTGTTAACTATTCAAACAGAGAGTATGGAGGTAGAGGAGGATCACCAGAAAGAAAAAGAATGAGGATGGAGGTAAATTTTAGTAAAGATTAAAATTGTAAAATTGATCACATATTTTTACTCATTTTAAAAGCCTGTTTGCTAGCTGCAATATGAAGCCCAAATGAATTGCAAAACTTAATAAATTATCAGCCAGCAGCTGTATTCCATGAGTATATTTGAAACACTGAAAGCATGTTAAGAAAAGAATATCTATCATGTAACATAAGTGGAGATAACCATTGAAGTTTAAATGTTAGAAACAAGATTGTTGTAAAAGACAAACTATAGACCAGAAGTAAGGAATAAAGAATATTATAAGTTTCTAAAATATGTAGATGAAATAGAGTTTTCAAATTTTAAGAATTCATGTATCTGGACTGTTTTCTACTTCATAGGAAAAATAAAACATAATAGCCACTGGCGGTTCAGGAATATAGCAAACACCAAAAATTCACAAATTGTTTTATTGGAGGTTTTAAATAAGTAATGGTATTCAAATGAAATGTGTAATATGCCAAAATGCCTTTTTATTGCAAACTTAATTCAATCTAATGTAAAGAAATTGTCAAAAATAATAATGAAATTTTGGCAATACATCAACTACAATGACTAGTGAAAAATAGTTTCATTTTGAACAGGGGCCAGTAGAAGGATCTTAAAAAAGTCATCATGAGAAGACTTTAAATTTTGTCACATTTTAATACTAAATTTAGTTTGTTCATAAAAAAAGAAAGATGAAGGGAACCATAGAGAGTTATGTACAGGGACCAGCCGAAAGACGTAGCCATGACGGCGGCGGCGGTCATTACGGCGGGTCCTACAGCTCAAGGCAGGAAAATTACGGAGGCGAAAGGAGGTCCTTCGGTGGGGATGAACGAAGACGATCGCCCGCCAGAGAAAGCTACCGCAAACCAAGCGGTATGGGCCCCCCGCGAGAGCCGCGCATCGGCACCCGCCCGCGCCGCCCCTTCCGTGGCCGCACTCTGCGCTCGCGAGCATCCTATCGCGGCACACCGCGCTCGCGTGCCTCCTTTACGAGGCGGTTCGCTGATAGAACCCTCAATTACAACCGTGCCTTTAGAAGCGTCAAGGGACGCAGGTAAATTGAAAAGATGATAAAAAATATATTTATTTAGAACGATAATGATGATCTGATAATGATCTATGAGCTCATCGATGAACTCGTGAATGAGATGAGTGCTTAGCGGCTGGATGATGATGATTGGTAACGGATGTAATACCATCATTAATGGGTGATAAATATTAAAATGCAAATATCACATCTGAAAAATAGCGAATGTGTATAAATTTTTCATCTACCATACATAAAATTTTACCAATAGGAATAAAAGAGATTTGTAACTGAATTTTAAACAAAGATACTATCTACTTCATCCTCCAATTCAAATAGCTTCATGTATGAGAATTATAAACCAGATATACATACTCAAAGTAAATATTATTTTTCCTCTCTTCAAATAGACTTCAAGAAGTTATTTATTTATTGAAGTGTGAAATATTTTTAAATATTTTCTCTGTACATGTTAAATACAAATTCATCAATGTGTCATCAAAACATCAAACAGTTCCATCAAATCCAAAGAAGAAGCATCCTCAACTGAAGAAGATTGGGATGCTGACGACAAGGAAGAAATAACTGAAGAAAAGAAAGAACCAAAAAATAAGTCACCAAAGGTAAGATTTTTTTTAAAACCCACGTTTTAATGATAATTATCATGATATTTATACATAGATGGACAGACAGATGATAGTATACTTATAACACATTTAATGATAGGTAAAAAATACCATATGTACATGATGGAAAAAAGTTAGATTTATTAGACACAATTCATGCTCCACCTTGTTAATATAGCTGTATGAAACAATAATTTCCTAAAAAATTTGTCTAAATAAATTTGCAACAAAATAAAAAAAAGCCAACGCTCTGGTCAAATGTCGCATAGGCGCCAAACTCGCGCAGCCCTTTACTAACTACTGTAATAACAAAAAGTTATGAATTTTTATTGAAATTACCGATTCATTAAGCTAAGCTAATGGAGGTTGCACAATGCTAAAAAACTTAAAATAATGTTTTTATTATTTTGATTGACTTTATCATCATTAAATATCATTAAATGCCAACGAAATGTCAAGCCATTATTTTGGGTAGTCTTCGTATTGTCCACCGCTGAACTACTACTCCCATCAGTAATTTATAATGGTACAGCGATTCTCCTTAGTTCGGTGGTTAAGAACCTACACCTTTACATAGGACTCGACTCGACTGGAGAGCTCAAGTATCTTACGCCAGCGTCGTAATTTGCTTGCACTGATGACTTTACATTCCTTCCTTATGTCTCCCTAACCTCATTCCTATCTAATTCCCTATTTTCAATGTCTTTACTCCAGCCGTGAGCGAGCCCTACGTTCCCTCCATAGCCTATTAATTTGTTGTCCCACACATAGCTCTACTTATGGTTCATAGCTCTTTCGTCGTGCAGTCTGTTCTGCTATGGAATGCGCTCCCTCTCGAGATTTTTTAGGGTAATCGAGGGGTGTTTTTAGTTGTTTGAATATCCCTTTCGGTTATCTGACGACATTGCTTTACTTGTGTCGCCATATCATTTCTCAAACAATCAACAAATTGACTAGTTGACACGTCAATGGTTTGCTAAAAATTAATATAAGTGAGCATGTTTCCTTTTTATTTATGTTGACGGGTAGATGTAGAATGTTTATAGCCCACATTGAGTTAAGATTTACCCAAATTTACTGTAAATTCGGCAGACAAATTATTACACAACTTTCTTCCTTCATTATTTACAGGGAAAAAAACTGGTGATTACAATAGGCTACGAATAATAAAACTATAAAACAGTAAATCGCCTTCAATTGCACTTTAAATTATGGTTCCATTTACGCACACAAATAAAAGCAAATACAACGAACACTCACACTCTTTCATAAACAAACGCTTGCACGCGATTAGTCACGCCAAGGTCACGGTTCGCAAGCGCCACCCAGCGCACCCTTATGACGATGACGTTATGCAGTAGTAATGAATTCATGAAATATTTTCTCGTTTTTTTATTAAATGACTTTATTACTGCAATAAAAATAAATGCAGTTTATAAGTTAGTACATAAGATGAAAATATGATAATTAAACTTAAAATCAATACGACGACTACTACTAGTATATAAGGTGTAAGGCACACGACTTCCACTTTCAAGTATGTACATGGCCTCTTTTTGAAAGTGTATGCTGTACATTGTGCTATTTTTGCAATGCGTCCAATTTGTTTCATTTCTTTCCAAGCTAGCTTTCTATCACAAGCGGCTATCCATTTTTTAAGTGAAACTTCTGTAGAATCGTAATGTGATTTCAAACTCGATGAAACGAAAAAATTAAACGTGAAGTTAAAATATCAATTCACAGAGGGCGTTACCTCATACTATAAAAGATGATTTACAATTATTTCTATTTAGTTTGCTATCAACAAATGTCGCTGCACGTAAATTCAACAATTCCTGAATCGCGATGACGAGATGTTACACATTTGATAGAGGTTCTCGTATTTCTCTTGCTAAATCATGCTTAGCCATGATACCGTGGTCATGCAGGCGGTTCCCCCAGGGTGAGGCTACTCCATTGCGCTGCGGAGTGGTTGGTGGTTGAACCTTGCGATTATTCTTATTTTTTCACTTCTACCGTGTGTGACTTGCACACACAATTTTTTTTTTACGTTAAATTTCATTTGTCGGTAATCTGCAGTAATAAAATCATTTGTTATCGCTGCATAATATCATAGTTGTTACTTAAATAAAACCTATGTTTTATCTGAGCAGTATAAAGAACTACTACTGCATAGAAAACGTAATCGTACATAACAATATCGCATAACACTATCCATCATCAATAGTATAAAATTTTACGGTGTTTGTATACTTACTTATGAAAGATAATTCCACTGTTTTTCATATCTGTATGGCTTTTACACCATTGCACGACACACGATTGCATACTTGCAAAATTAAAAAGCGCAAAATAATAATTATCTGGTCAACCGAAAACTGACGCAACACGACCGCACGACACGAGTGCCACAGCGAACTGGCGCACCGTTCTGTAGCTATTTTAAGCCCCGCCCTTCGCGGTAGCTATTTACGTGGAACCCTTTTTTAAGCGTAATTACTTTTTTATAGTTTAATTATTCGTAGACAATAGGGATGTATCAAATCTATCATACTTGTCAGCCAAGTTTTTCATGGTTTGTGGATATTCATTAGAAGACTGTCATCAACCATATCAAGTTACTGCTACTTTTGTCCACATCATCTCTTTCTGGTAGTAGTACAAACTATCTTCATATATATTATTATATTCGTGACAGTAGCCATTTCTTCAAGGGATAACAGTAAAGTATGCGTAAAAATCTGTAAGGGTTGATACCACAATTTTATTAATTTCTGTTGCGAAATAGTGCGTTCTAGTCAAAAGCGTATTATATATTACTATTGTGACTTCTAGATTATATCTCAATATTATGTAACACTCACTTTGTAATCTTTTAAAAGACTGTAACGTTGTCTGCCCATCTAAAGCAATTAAAAGGCCGTGCTCTCGCTCTCAAATTTATATCTTGTTGTAGTGTCATAGTATCATTCTTTCCACTAACAGTGGTAGGTTATGCAAATTGCTGGCAATCGTTGCGTTTTTGGGGTGTGAGTAAGGGAACTTGCATCGAGAGTTGATTGTTGGAAGCTCACAAGTCCGAGATGATGAATAGTCGTATCTTTGACTTTAAATACTAACGACATTTCGATCGTCGCCACAATGAGATAACCGTTCACTCTTATGTAAACGTTACATTTTGTAGTTACCCATGCAATTGTTCTACTGGGGCCTCTTTAAAAGAATAGTAACATAAAGGTTATAAAAAAATTTTAATCCAATTTTAAAAGTTCAACTAATAAAATTGTTAACCCTGAGATCTAGGGTCAATGTGTATTGAACATATATATCGTTTATTTAGTCTTCCATTAGTCTTATGACCACAAGGGGTTAGGATAAAAAAATATTAGTATATAGTAGAAATAGTAATAGTATAAATAATATTTTGATTATTGTAAGATATTATAATTTGTTTAAATCTATATCAATATTAACTACAGAAATAATAATAATAAAAGTAGGAACAAAAGGCATGGTCATCCGGCCTTAAATTACGATTCCTTGTGTTATGCATACTAGAGACTAACCTAGATACATACTCGTATACGTTTAAATATATATATCGCTCATTTGGAGCGACAGTGACATAATTGCTAAAAAAATGTAAATTTTATTTAATTATACCACAAAAAAAATCATTTTTTCCACTTAGTTATGGTTTTATTATTTTATTAAAAAATTCGTCTCCTTTCAAGCCTAGACTTCAAACTACAAGAGTAAAATAATAGAGATAGTCATTAACTGTCAGAAATATTTAGAAACTTCATTAGTATTACGAAAACTGGCATAGTGTAAAATTTACAAATTTACAGTTGTGTCACAGTCGCTCCAAATGAGCGATATGTATATAGTCCTAATAAAGCTGTTCATTACATGGATGATGTGGGGCAACAGTCAGGGGCGCTAATTACAGGACCATCGAGTCAGTCAGAATAATTAAAAAAATATAATTTCATAAACACAAAATTACAAAACTGAGTATGATTCAATTGTATTCAAAACAAAATAATGTAAACTAATCTAAATTGACTGCATACGGGAATTGTTAAAAATTATAAAGCTTATGGTGGGACTTGTGGGGATTTCTTGAAAGCATTTATTAATTTAAAACATTACTTATATATTCACACCTCATCCTACACTCATATGTCATTGTGTAAAAACAGATTCAGTATAATAATTATTAAAGCTTTATTTATGCATTGATCATTCAAGGAACCCCTTCATTAAACAGCATCAATAACTGATGCTTTGTATGAGTGCAACTTTTTAATTACATATATACAGGTGGAGGCAGAAGATTCTGATGCTGAAGCTGCTGTTGTCGGTGGAGTTGCTGGTGATGATACAGATAAGGAGCCCGATGCCGCCTCCGATACTGCGACGCGGCCCTTTGTTAATCTTATGTGTGTTCACTGCAAAGAAAAATGCCCCACTTTTGCGGTAGGTATTCGTCGAAGTTGCAGTGAGTTATTAGTTTTAAATTATTCATAACAGCTGTCTTAATTATTATGCAATATATCAGTTACTATTTAAAAAAAAACATGAATTTTATGATAGACTTTCCCACAGGCCACAATAACTGTTAGCATTTTCCCATAAATAATGTCGTTCGCACCCAATACAAACTGAACTCAAATAAGAAGGCTCCACGCCGCTGGAAAAAAAAATCATATAAAACCGTTTCCCGCTTTGGACGCATATGTTTCTCTATCTGATAATTTTGTTCACGAAGCTATTCGGATGGAAATGCACCTCATAGGCGAAGACGACTTTCTTCAATAATAGGCATTCACTTCACTTCCATTATAAATCGAACGATTTGTAGTGATCCGAAAATTTTATGTCCAGAGCAATGTCAATTTTATGTCAAGGTGTTATCAGAGCCATGGTGGTCATTTGCAATATTTTATTTCATATCTACTTAATGGGAACACTTCTACTTTACAATGCAATAAAAATCACATCTTGCTCAAAAACGAGTCGTTAAATTTTAGATAAAACGGTACACTCTTATTAAGACACCTCTTATATCTAAAATCTGCAATTATTACAGAGGTACACAAAACATTTGGTGTCAGTGAGACACCGCGCAGCGATGGGTGTGGTGGCACGGCGCCACAAGACTCAGCTACTCCGCATGCGCGTGGCCCAACGCGTGGCTCAACGTGAACTGGAAGCAGCAGCAGGCGCTGATCTCGCCGAGCGCACGACATTCTGTCCCGTATGTCGCCTCAACCATCGCACCACGCGCGAGGCTCACAACCTCACCGATACTCATCGAGCTATGAAGCGCTTCCTTATGCCCTTCTGTCGAATTTGTCGCACTACATATCGTTCGCCTATGATCTATGAACATCATATATGTTCGCTCGAACATCTTAAGGTATGCTTGAATTTTCGCTTTATTGACAAAGTATTTGAGCTGATTTGTGTTTTTTTTAATCTTAGAATTAATTTTTAAAGAAAAAAGCAAACAAGTCTTTACGCCGTGCGAGTCCAAAAGCTGAGGGTAGTGGTGATGAGGGCATGAATGTTGATTTGGATAATTTCATGACACTTGATTCTGTTGGTGATGTTGATGGTGAGTTCATTTAATGTTATGTTGGGTATATTTGGAAAATAAAACAAAAAATTTCGTAACAAGTATGACTCATTTTAGTGAAATAAAATTAATTAAAGTAAAGTCTTAATTTTTTTCAACTTCATTAAAGTTGTCTTATTTTATTTTTGTGAAACATACTTTATTTGTAGAAGTCGAGGATGATGACTCGGGAACAGAAAAAAAAGATGAAGGTAGTCCAAAAAAAACAAAAGCAGAAATTAACATTGGAAGTGAACACATTAAGAAGTTGGAGGTAAGATTTTTGTTTCTGTTATTATTTAGAATTTCTTTCGAAATATGGCCAGACAATAATCCTTGATTCGAAATTCAGAATGTTCTTATTGCAAGTTTTTAGAATGCTTAAGAGCTTATATTTTGAGTTTAACTCTTATGTTTGAGTTCAAAATAATTATAATGTAATTAAGTCCTAAAAAGTAATATTACTCCTTTTAAATAAGAACGAATATATAGTAAACGTATATAATACTTACTTTTTTAAATCTATGAACAGGTAGTATATTGTTGAAAACGCGCACATATCTTACATATTTCCTTATTTCGAGCCATCAGAATGTAAATTTCGCTCCTAGTACCTATTAACTCTACATGAATTTGTCAATATTATAATGCAGATTAAGTTTTCAAATAAAATGAGTTTTAAAATATTCAAATATTGTGTTCTGTTATATTATTTAGGTGTGGTGGTGTGAGCTTTGCCGCACATATCTAACGCGCGCCGAGACCGGTGGTGCCGAACTGACAGAGGTTGTGCGGCGCCACTGTCGACTTCGTCTCCATCTCGGGCGATATGTGCAGTACCGTGACACTCGCACGCTTCGGAAGCATGCTGAGCGCATTCATCGACAGCTTCATCAGCAGAAACGTATGTTGAGAATGTTCAATTTTAATTTGTTACAATAAAATATATACAATAAAAAGTAGCACAAAGTAGTTCCTCGCAATTACAGATTTCAACATTTAAATTTTTCATAAAAACCTCTAGTAGTCTCAGGGTGTTAATGCTGTACATTTTATATATGATTTATTAATAATATGTATAAAGCTATAAAGCTTTGAAATATAATAACCATATGTTGATTTTTCAAAAATAGAAGATGTGGAAGAATCTGCAAATGATGTTGTTGCTAAAGGTAAAGAAGAAAAAGAGGAAACTATTGATGAAGTTAAGAAAAAACTGGACAATACTACTGAAACTTCAAATATGTCGGGTGAGGTCTTATTGCTTTACGAATACACAACTAAAATAATCTGATTTTGTAAAGATGAGAATGCAAATACTAAATTTGTAAAGATTAATATAAAATTATTTGACTTTAATAATATTGCGGTTTCAGCAAATGAAGACAAATTGTGGGCTGATGTTGATAAAGACATTGGAGAACTTCTTCGAGAAGTGGACCCACAAGGAAATGAAGGAACTGATGATGAAGAGGACCTAGACAGGTAATGCAATTTAAAAAATCTTAGAAAAAAGAAATGAATGTTAACAGATGAACCTCTCTTAAGCTTCTATAATAAACCATGTTCTTAGTGTGATTGTAAACATATAAACATAAATTATTAGCAGTTGATGGCATAAACTAAAATAGGTCACTTTTTTATTCATTAGAGCATATAATTATATTAACCCACAGGATAGTAAATTGGTGACAGTTGCCCATTCCTGTCCTTGGTGTTATAATGGTGTATATATTTGTATCAATTGTATCCCACAACACTGGTCACAATAATCTAATTATAATGTTTATTATTAGCGCCAAATACAAACAATAAGATATGAATCATAGAAAGCGCACAATGTAGTAAAAATATAGCTAATTTTATTCTTATCTCTTATTTATGTTCACAGATATGAAAAGTTCCGAAAAACCGATACCAAAAAAGCTAAGAATATTGAGAGTGAAAATAATGAATCCATTGTCTTGAATTCATCGNAATAATCTAATTATAATGTTTATTATTAGCGCCAAATACAAACAATAAGATATGAATCATAGAAAGCGCACAATGTAGTAAAAATATAGCTAATTTTATTCTTATCTCTTATTTATGTTCACAGATATGAAAAGTTCCGAAAAACCGATACCAAAAAAGCTAAGAATATTGAGAGTGAAAATAATGAATCCATTGTCTTGAATTCATCGAGTGAAAAGAAATCTGTTGAAGTTAATACTTCTGCTTAATAAGGGAGGGGTCACTATAAAACTAATACTAAAAAAACATAAAAGTGCAATGTGTCTTCAAATCACCTGAGAAAGAAATAAACTCAGGTTAATACAAAAAATGTCTCCGCTTATAATATTGCAAACCATAATTGCTGTCACGTTTTAGTCACGTTATAAAATACTATGAATATTCAGGTTTTTTAACTTCCTACACCCACTCCACAGCATATTTGTGAAAAATAATAATTCACTATTACTTATAAGAATGTAATTTTGTGCTACATACAAAACAATCTACAAGATCGTCAGTCTAAAAAAATAATGAAATTATGGTATAAAATACATAAAAAAATCCAAAATGTTTCTTTTTCCTCTTTGAGTATTATGCTGAAAGTGTATGCGTGTGATTTGGATGGTGAAAACTAACGCCTTATTCATATATAAATCAAAATTTTAACACACCTATATTTTTCGTGAGCTGTATCAACACTACATATTATTATCACGCGGCCCGCACACACATAGACACCCTCCAATCTCTACAATCCCGCTTTTTGCAGGTTAGCCGTAGGAGCTCCGTGGTTCGTGAGAAACGTTGACCTACACGACGACTTGGGCCTCGAATCTATCCAGAAATACATGAAGTCAGCGTCGGAACGGTACTTCAATAAGGCTATGCGTCATGATAATCGCCTTATCGTTGCCGCCGCTAACTACTCCCCGAATCCTGATCATGCAGGAGCCAGTCACCGTCGACGCCCTAAACACGTCCTTACGGATCAATCAGATCCAATAACCTTTGCATTAGACGCCTTCAGCTCTAACACTAGAAGCAGGCTTAGGGACCCCGGTAACCGTATTCGTCGAACTCGACAAAGAGTTCGCCGTGCAACCACACCCATGAATCAACTCGCTGAGTTTCTCGCCGGATCTTCTCAGCGGGTCGCGATTCCAATCCGGTAGTAGATTCATTCGCGAAGCAGCTGCTCTTGAGCTGTTAGGTCTCCTTCGGAGGCTCTCGGGTAGCTGTTAGCAAATCCCACCTCTCTTGGGTGAGCCTTTGCTCGCCCACCTGTCCTGGTGAAACTGGAAAGGCCTCAGGGCTACCAGTAATCCTTCAATCATAAAAAAAAAAATATCAGCTTTATACCTACACATGACACGCAGTATTATCAGCATACAATATTATTAATGATTGAATACATTTGTAAACCAAGGACCTCATAATATAATTAAAAACCATAGGAATACGAACTATCTGCCGACCTTATCCACAACCAATTTAAGTGTTCAGTGAGTTCAGTAACAGCTTCGGCAGATTTTCCTACTCTTAACCCAAGTTGGCGATTTGATAATAAAGAATTCACATGTAATTAATCATTAAATAGAAAAACAATGCGCTCTAATAATCTTGGTATTAAATGATGAATTCGTAATTAACATATTATAGGTAATTAATTGCAGCGTCTTGGCGGCATTATGTAAAAGGAGAAATCAAAGGTTCATTCTTTGCTCTTTGGCAGATCTACATTCCTTACTTAACTCTGTGCTCCGATGGTTATCTCCATGGAGTTAATAAGTACTACCTACAACTAGAGTGCTGTCTAATGCCGAGAAACCGGTCTTAAAAGAGAAAGCTTTGGTCTTTTTGGTCGTGGTGTCCTTGTCTAATGTGGTGACCATATAAAATTTATTTATAGGACAAAATTATACAGATGCATCAGTTTTTACCTCAAGTAATTCTGTGTAGCCCTATGTAAATACAAAACACGTGCTTGCAAAAGTTTATTTATGTAAATTCAATTCCAAACATTGCTTCGTCGTCATGGTGACTTTTTTCGACGGTTTTTTTTGGGAATTGCTTCGTCGAAAATCTAGCACTGAGTTTTATTACAAACATCCTTACCTCAGTTCTATTTCTTAAACTTCCTCAAACTCATGCTTAACGTCCGAATACTCAACCGCGACTTCAATATTATGTTGCACTTAACTACGCAATTCCTACTTAAATGTACTGGCTAAGTGGGCCGTGCACAGTTAAAAGCAAATTAATATTTGGCACACTGAGTGAGACACTGCAGCACACATGGTATGTGCGTATCGGGTGCTCTTTTCCTGCATTCACATGTTCAATTGATTTAAAATTGCTTGTGTTTTTACTTCTGTGCTATTTTCATGACATGTGCAGATTAGGTCTACTAGTTACATTTTAGGAAATAAAACACAATGGGTAATGAAATGAACTGAAATTCGTTTATTTGTTATATTATGTAGACAATTAGATAATTCTTAAATGACAAGTCATGCTAGACAAGGCAATGACAGGGCATGCAAGTATTTAGGCAGCGGCTTGGCTCTGCCCCTGGCATTGCTAAATTCCATGGGCGACGGTAACCACTCACCATCAGGTGGGCCGTGTGCTCGTCTGCCTACAAGGGCAATAAAAAAAATATGAAAACACGTGTTTTAAATGTAGAAAATCAAAGCATATGGATAAGTATTATAAATATAAATACACAGGGAACAGAGGCGGCGCCGCGGCGTGGCGTGCGTGCTAACATGCGCCACTAACAGAGGTTCCATTTCTGTTTTGTTGGTAGCATTTTTTCCTCAACTTAAGCGACTTATTCACGTTCCATCTTGCTGTACGTCCCGCCAAGGCCATGCACGATGCAAAAGGATCATGAATAGGCTTGACGTACGTCGATAATTATTATTAATTGTTTGCTGGATTTGCACGACCAATTTTGCATCCAGCGAGCGCCCCCACCACCGCGTACGTCGTGCAGATAGACAGTGAATAACGCTGACGTACGTCAGAGCGGTCCTGCGCCGTGCGTGCTTGATCGTGTATAGACTTGCTGTACAGCAGATTTAACATTTAGATCTTGTTTCGAGAGGAGACTGCACGTCAAAATGGATCGTGAAACACTTTCAAGATTTATTAAAAGATATAAGTTCCACATGTTTGTGGAATGTCTCAAGCGCAGACTATATGAATAAACCAAAAATAATAAACGTATTACAATTTTTTAAGCCCATTTTAGGGGAAGCTGCAAGGATTGATAGCGGGCGTAAAAAATGATATTAATTATTTGAGTATACTCTGCACGTTTAAAAAAATCATCCAAAACCTCTTGCTATTTTTTGCCTCTCTTCTGCTGCTGCTGACAACATCAGAAGGACTCCCATTTTTGGCGTTTTGATAAAACAGCTGTAATTTTAAATAAATTAAAACCCTCATTTAATTCGTTCGATTTGTTCTGTTCGCGCTTGATACATCCAGCACCGCGGCCTTGAGCTGACGTACAGCCGTGATGGATCGTGAATAAAGCGCTAAATGCATCGTGCATCGCGCATGGCCTTGGCGGGACGTACAGCAAGATGGAACGTGAATAAGGCGCTTTAGACGTTCTCGGTTTAGTGTTTTTTAATACAGTGCCATCTATGATATTTTTTAATACTAACGTGTGTATGAAACCTCTTCAAGTGAATTTTAATTATAGTCTAAGATCCGACTGCGGGATTAATGCGCTCATCGGTTATTTGCTAAAAACCAAAGGACAATGTCCAAAAGTGGGCCAACTTTATGTCTAAACTATTTGTATTTGAAAAACTATGCCTTATTTTTTCACGTTGTTTAGTTTATGTATCAACATTTCTTTCACCCTGGCATTGTTTTACAAAAAAATAAATTACTTATTTGATAACATCCCAAAACTGAGTGCCATAGTTTTTAAATTCGCCAATAAGCAAAGGGCTTAGCCCATACAGCCTTATAGTAAACCTATAAGCTGCCACACGAAAGAGTTGTCTGTGACTTGAACAACAAATTAAAAAAAATAGCTAATTAGCTTTTTACTGGTGGTAGGACCTCTTGTGAGTTCGCACGGGTAGGTACCACCACCCTGCCTATTTCTGCCGTGAAGCAGTAATGCGTTTCGGTTTGAAGGGTGGGGCAGCTGTTGTAACTATAATTGAGACCCTTAGAACTTATATCTCAAGATGGGTGGCGCATTTACGTTGTAGATGTCTATGGGCTCCAGTAACCACTTAACACCAGGTGGGCTGTGAGCTCGTCCACTCATCTAAGCAATAAAATAAAAAAAAAATGGTAATAATTCAAACTTTTTAGTTTATTTTTGTTCAATTCCATATTTATACAATAATTATTACTTAAAACCATGAATTATTTCATATTTTTAGATATTAATGATTCCATTATGCGGAGTTTACATTACGAAATTAGTGTCATGCATGTTGAACTCGGTTTCACGAAAGTAGTTTCGATATATGCGAAACTACTTTCGTTAAAAAATTAGTGTCGCGAAATCCACAGTATCGCAGTAACCATGGCGCCATCAGCATCAAAGCTATAATTTGCTATATTCAATGTAGCTAAAGAAATGCTTATATACCTATAAACTTAAAAAAGACTATCAAGAAAAAAAAAGTTGGTAGATTCGAGGATGGTCAACAAGAAAGCATTTAGGTGCAATGAAGTTAGTCTCTGAATTAGCAGATGAAGATCCTGAGAGTTATAAAAACTATTTTCGAATGAGTGAAGATAATTTTGATTTTTTACTGTAGGTGTTTCGGGACCCTTGTCATTGATATTCATTAATAAGATCTATATTTTTTTCTGTACTCCATCGTTGGTTTGCCATTTTCAACGCTTGAAGCGCGTCCGAACTAACAATACCTACACACGTCCGCACAGCGCAGGCCCTTTCGCAACATTAGTTTCACGTCGCGTCTACACTATTAAATTAGTTGCATGACACTAATTTCACCAAAAAATCGCGCAGGGCCCGAAACTAATTTGCATACATGAAATTAATGCATGCATTACGAAAGTATTAAATTACACGTGAAACTGTTGGGAAAACTAATGTCACGAAATTAATTTCACGCCACTAATTTCGTAATGTAAATTCGGCTTAAAGCGGCTTAAAGCCGAATTTACATTACGAAATTAATGGGGTTTCATGCATGCAAATTAGTTTCGTGCCCTGCGCGATTTTTTGGTGAAATTAGTGTCATGCAACTAATTTCATAGTGTAGACGCGAC